CAGACACCTGGTCCTGGAGCATCAAGTCATGGGCCTCCCAGATGTCTTGATTGGGAACAAGGACCGGCGGAGGGGAGGTGCAAAGTCGCACAATTCTTATGTCGTGGAAGGATGACTCACATGGTTACTATTTATCCTCAACCCCCAGAGAGGTCTCACTGGTTGGTGTCACTTTGATGTAGCACATGGGGTTCGGAGAGGTGATCGGATGCCTGGCTCAAAGCCACAGCCTCTACCTTTTCCATGAACTCAGGGTGTCTGTGTGGGAAGTGAGGCAGCTGCAACAGATTCGTGGGAGGAGGGCATGGCCAGGCTCGGTCCAGCAAAGCAGGGCCTTCAAGGCCAGAGGACTGAGTGCCAAGAGCACCCCTCCCCGCCGCCTCCACCACCGGGCCCTAAGGCCGTCTGTGCCCTTGCTCTTGGGAGCCGTGCGGCTGAAGAGGGGAAGGAACAGTGTGGTGATGATCCAGGAGGTTTGCAGTCGCCATTCAATGAGGGCCCTGTAATGATGGCGATTAAAAATTAACACCCGTATTTGTGCAGCGTCTGCTTTGTGCCCAAGGATTAATTAGTAAATGACAACACAAGCTGCAGGGCACAGGAGACTGGGAGGTTCTCGTGACACGACCTGATGCTGGCTCCAGCCCCTCCTCAAGGGCAGCAGCGGCACGTGTCTGACCTGGGGTTCACTCATCGCCTTTTTTTTTTAGAAAAGATTTATTTGCTGGGGCCAGAGCTGTGGTGTTGTATGCTAATCCTCCATCTATGGCACCAGCATTCCATATGGACGCTGGTTCAGGTCCCAGCTGCTCCACTTATGATCCAGTTCTCTGCTGATGGACCTGGAAGACCCAAAGGAAGCTCCTGGCTCGTGGCTTCCGACGGGCCCAGCTCTGGCTATTGTAGCCAGTGCTTGGAGGATCTCTGCCTGTCTCTGTAACTCTGCCTTTCAAATTAAAAAAAAAAAAAATTGAAGATTTATTTATTTTTATTGGAAAGGCAGATTTAGAGAGGAGAGACAAAGAAAATCTTCCATCTACTATTGTACCAGCCCCCATAAAGAAAATGTTTTTAAAAAGATTTGTTTATTTTTTGTGAGGCAGGTTTACAAAGAGAAAAGAGGCAGAGCAAAAAGCACACAGAGACAGAGAGAGGGGAGATCTGTTTGCTGATTCACTCCTCAAATGTCCAGAATAGCTGGAGCTGGTCCAAAGCCAGGGGTTTCTTCCAGGCCTCCCATGTGGGTGCAGGGATCCAAGCATTTGTGTCTTCCCAAGCTGCTTTCCCAGGCACATCAGCAGGGAGCTGGATCAGAAGTGGAGCAGCCGGGATTTGAACTGGCATCCAAATAGGATGCTAGCACATGGGCAGAGCTTAACTTGCTGCGCCATGGCACCAGTTCCACACTTGCTGGTTTTAGACCATGGAGTGCTGGTCTACATTGGGAGCTGGGTGGTCATGCACCTGAGGGGACACGGCAGCCCTGGCTGGTGTCTCTAGGGCTCAGCCGACTCCCAGCTGCTCAGCGGCACCAGGGTGGGGGCTCCTGAGATTGAATCTCTGGTTGGGTTAGGGTGTTTGCTGCCTGGGGCCTGCCTCAGTGACAAATGCCATAAACGTGGTGGCCCAAAGCCACAGAAATGTGTTCTTGAACTCTTTGTTGACAAGAAGAACAAAACCAAGGTGTTGGCAACTTGGGTCCTCCTGGGGGTCTGTTCCAGGCCCCCAATTCCTCAGTCTATGTGTCTCCCCTGGGTCTGTGTGTCTCCAACCTCCCTCCTCTTCCTCTTAAGGACGCTTGCTATTGCGTCTCGGACTCTGGCTGACTCCAGGAGGAGCTTCTCTGCAGAGCCTTAACTGGAGGACACGTGCAGAGAGAGAGACCCTGTTGCCACGCACCCTCATGGGGCACCAGGTGTTAGGATTTTTTGGAAAGAGATAAGACTGCAAAATGAATTTTGAATAGGCAGGAAAAAAAAAAAACATTTATTTTATTTGGAAAGCAGAGGACAGGGACCTTCCATCTGCTGGTTCGCTGTCCAAGTGCCCACCGCAGCTGGGGCTGGAATCCAAAGTCAGGAGCTCCAGCTGGGTCTCCCCAGAGAGAGCAGGAACTCAAGGGTTCGAAGCGTCTTCTGCTGCCTGCCAGTGTCTGTCTTGGCAGGGGGCTGGGTGGGAAGCAGAGCACCTAGGACTGGAACCAACACCCCCATGTGGCATATGGGCATCCCAGCGGTTAACATAAACCAACATGTCAAATACCTACTCTGGTACTATCATTCCTATGCCAAAGTAACAAGGAGTTGCTGGAAGAGAGCTGGCCAGCACCCCCCTGCAGGCCAGGTCTACACAGGTGCGATGGGCAGCAGAGGGGGCAGGTGGGCTGGAATTTGATGGGAAGAAGAGAAAAGCTAGCTGGAGACTCTACTCACGGCCATCCATCTTTATATTTTAAGATGTATTTATTTATTTGAAAGGCAAGGTGATAGAGAGAAGGTGAGACAGAGACTGTCTATCATTGGTCCATGCCTCACATGGCCGCAACACATAGGCCTGGGCCAGGCAGAAACTGGGAGCCAGGAGCCTGGAACTCCAGCAGGGTCTCCGCTGTGGACGGCAGGAGCCCCGAGTACTTAGGCCAACTGCGTTTGCTTGTCTTAGGCTCATGAGCACAAAACTGGATTGGCAGTAGAACAGCCAGGACTCAAACTGTTGCTCATGTGGCACATGTGGTTGGCAGGTGGCTTGACTAGCTAGGCCACAACATGGCCCCATGACCATGCGACTGTCCTTCTCCAACAAGCCACATACTCGGGTCACCAGAGAACTGGAAAGCCCCTTGGGTAATATCCCTGAGCTCTCATTTGTTTTTATCTTTAAAAGTTTTCATTTTCTTTTTTTTTTTTTTTCAAGATTTATTTATTTTTTTATTGGAAAATCAGATATACAGAGAGGAGGAGAGACAGAGAGGAAGCTCTTCCATCTGATGATTCATTCCCCATGTGGCCGCAACGGCTGGAGCAGAGCCAATCTGAAGCCAGGAGCCTCTTCTGGGTCTCCCATGCAGGTGCAGGGTCCCAAGGCTTTGGGCCATCCTCCACTGCTTTCCCAGGTCATAAGCAGGGAGCTGGATGGAAAGCGGGGATGCTGGGATTAGAACCAGAGCCCATATGGGATCTTGGCGTGTGCAAGGCGAGGATTTCAGCCACTAAGCTAACATGCCGGGCCCTCTCATTTGTTTCTTAAAGCATTCCCTAGGCACCCCGCTCTGCAGCCCTCTTGATACTCTCTTCTCCTGCCTTGCCCGGAGAAGCCCCAGGCCCCACTTGGTTCAGCATCGCTGATACACACCACGCTTCCTTCCTTGACCTATCCTGCTGCACCAAACCCCTGACCGTCCCTTCCCCTGGCTGCATGTTGCCCGTTGCCTTCCTACCATCAGCCTACCTTCTGGAATGTTCTCCCTCATCATCCTCTGCCTTCCATCCCCCTCCTGTCCCAGGCTCCTCCCACTCCAATGTGATTCTCTGTTACCTGCTTATGGCCAGCACTTGAAGGGCCGTTCCCCACGATGGAGGACTCAGCTGAACTGGGTGCCCTGCGATCTGAACCGTGTGCCCCAGGGTTCTTGGAGCCTGTCTGCCCTTCAAGGCTGCTGCTGCTGCTGCAAGCCTTTGATGAGCCCGGCTGACAGATGACCTTGCTCTGGACCCTGTATCTTAGGAACCCTCATCTTCTGTAGCTCAGCCCTGGGGCTCCCAGTAGTCAAACTGAGTCCAGACGGAGGCCCGTCTGGAACCTGCTGGATTCCTCCCGGCCCCTGCCAGCCCCACCTCGGCTCCAGGTGTCTACCTCCCCGGCTATTTTCTTTTCTGATCTAGAGTTCAAAAGAACAACATACCTCTCGGAACACTGGAAACAAAAGCCAACAGGCTGGCTCACGTTGGCCCAGCCAGCCAGCCAGCTGTGGCCTGCAGGGCACTGCCCACATCTCCGTCCTCTATCCAGGTGCCCAGGGAGGAGGGCCTTGGGTTTGTGGTTCTCCAGCTATCAAAGGCCGAGATGTCACTGTGAGAACTGCAGGTGCTGTTGGCGACCAGGCCAGTTTGGGGCCAGGGCAGGGAGCAGGGAGGACAAGCCTGCTTTCCTTAGAGCCCTAACATATTCCTTTGAAAACATTCACCCCCTCACTTGTCCTCATGTCCTGGACCCTGCGGGCTGGGATGGTATAAGGATAATAAAACAACATTTGCATAGAAAGTTCCTTGACAAAGCACTTTCTCAGGGGCGGGGAGGTGCAAGGAGGCCACCCAGCCCTGGGCAACTTCCGCCAGCCAGCCAGCCAGCCAGCCAGCCAGCCAGCCAGGCTGGGAATTATGTGCTTGGTAAACAAAGCACCATTCATCCAACTGCTTCTCCTCTGGAGATCGTCAGCACTTCCTGGGGAAGAGCTCACTTGGGGCTGAGGCTCAGGCCCAGAGCAGAGGTCCACAGCTGAGAGCAGAGCTGGCAGAGGGGGAGCTGGTGGTGAGGGGACACTCCCTCTACACCCCATCACGGGGGTCCTAAGCCCTGGCAGAATCCCAGCAGCCAGCCCTCTGGGATCAGGTGGTGCAATCCTAGAGTTGCCTGTGGCTGCGTCTCAGGTGTGAGGTCTGAACCGGGTTTGGGAACGTTTGTTCAAGCAACCTGTGTGTGTTTGTAAAGCGTGGGTCTTTGCTAATCCCTCCCCCACCTCCCACTCCACTCTGGGGCTCTATACACAGTGTGGGGGTGCAGGGCCCTGGGGCAACTGCACCTGCATAGATGTGAGGAGTGAGGTAGCTGGCCCCACAACCCCTCTTTGGAGGAACAGAATGGAACAAATGGTATTGTTGAAGAGGCTGGGGGCAGGCAGCGCCAGACCCTGGCTCCTTAAGGGCCCCCAACGAGCTATATAGCGTGCACCTGCAGGACCCAGCCAGCACTTGCTAGGCAGCTGCTCCCACAAGAGCTGGAAGATGCAGGAAGCCATTGCTGGCTTGGAGCGATTCACCTTCGCCTTCGAGAAGGATGTGGAGCTACAGAGAGGCACGGGGCTTCAGCCCTTCGAGGGCATGGACAGTGAGTGGGGAGGCCCCGCTGCACCCCCTCTGCTCGGGCTTTCTCTTCCATTTCTTCTGGACTCATTTTTCCACACTGAGAAGTTAGAGGGAGGCCACCTGAGCTGCAGGCTTCAGAGTAGATGGATGCAGTATTGAGGTTGGGAGCTGCCCTGCCCTCCAAGGGCCCAGTCTTGGGGTCTCACAGTGTGAACTTGGCTTGGGGAAGCTGCCTTCTTCCCACTGCTTCCCTCTCTCCCCAATCTCCCTCCAGAATCGGGCTCAGCTGTATGCAACTTCTTCACAAAAGGACTCTGTGGGAAAGGTGAGTGAACAGCCCAGCTAGGCTGCACTGGGCAGGGCAGGGCAGGGCAGGACTCGGCCTGGTCTGGGCAGGCGAGGCAGGGATGAGGCCAAATCTCCATCTTATATGGTGGCAAAGGTCTCGGAGGAGCCCGCCACTCCCTAAGATTCCCCCAGCGTCAGCAGCATATGTGCCCCGGTGGCCATTCCCCTGCCTTCAGGCCTGGAGGGCATGCGTTCTCAGAAGTCTGCCAGCCCCGTATTCTGTCTGATTCTCCTTTCTCCCCAAATCAGCAGGAAACTGGCCTGTTGTCCCATGGCTGCACCTGCTCCTTAGGCCCTTTGGAATTTCTGGCCTTTGTCTCCAAAATGCTTCTCCCAGCATCCCGTGCCTCTCCCGTCCTGGCTTTGGCTCACGTGCCACCCTCTGCTGAGCCCCTGTCCCCAGACCCAGCCAACCTGGAAGAGGTCTGACTTAAATATGGGGGGGATGCGGGGGAGGCTCTCAATTTTTCTGCTGGCTTATAAACCACCTTGAGGCTCTTCCCAGAAAAAGATACAGTCGCAAAACCAAACCAAGCCTCATCTGCCATTGTAGGGGTTCCCAGCCACGCCCCCCCCATGGCCCCAAACCTGTCTGATCCTGATCCAGGGTCAGAAATCAGCGCGAGTTAGGGACCTGCACTGACATCCAGAGGCTTTGTCAAACCTGGAAGGTCTTGGAGCCTTGTCTGGGTGACAGTGGGGCAGGAAGGGCCCGTGAGTCCTCTCCAATCGCCTAGGATCTTGGGTGGCCAGCACCCTGCAGGCTCGGGCAAAGCTTGAAGTGATGTCTCCTTGGTCTACCTATCCAGCATCTAGAGCAGTGGTTCTTATGAACCCCTGTCATTGCTGTGGAAGGTAAAGCCAGGGGGTCCTTGGGGTGGGGTGCTGAGCGAATGCCTTCCCTGCGCCCCCCAGTCCATGGAAGAGTTGGCTGTTTGTGGGGCCTGGCTTGCTCAGAAACCTGGCAGTGGGAGAGTTCGTGCAGGTGAGGGCGGTGTGAACACAGTGGGAACAGCTGTATGCCAGGCCCCTGGCAAGCCTTAAGACACGGTTCCCGTGTTGCCCTGGTAGAGTTGCCTCGGGAGTCAGGAAGCTTAACATTTGTTTTTCGAATCTTATGATTTATCTATTTGGAGGATAGAGTTATATAGAGGGAGAGATACAGTCCTCAAATGCTCACGATGACAGCAGGTGGGCCTAAAACCATCCCCTCCAAACCCCACGTTGGACGAAGGAATCCAAGCACTTGAGCCATTTTCTGCTCTCTTCCCCGCATTAGCAGGGAGCTGGATCGGAAGTGGAGCAGCCCGGACTCCAACTGGGACTCATACAGGAAGGCAGGATGGTGGTGTCACGGCCAGCAACTTTATCTGCTGCTCCACACTGTGGGCCCCCAACATTTGTTCCTTCTAGATGTGAACTCAGTAGGCCCATCATGGGCACCTACTGTGTGCCAGGGGCAGGGCTGGGTGAGGGGGCATGGGCAGGTGGGCGGGGCCACTCCAGCAGGTGTGCTGACGTCCACAGGGAAGCTCTGCCCCTTCCGGCATGAACGGGGGGAGAAGACGGTGGTGTGCAAGCATTGGCTGCGGGGGCTGTGCAAGAAGGGTGACCACTGCAGGTTCCTGCACCACTACGACACCTCTAGGATGCCTGAGTGCTACTTTTACTCCAAGTTCGGTAATACTCTGCCAGGCTCAGCTTTCACCTGGGGAGAGGGTGGCAGAGACTGGAAGGAGGGAAAGGGGCTGGGCATGTCTCAGCGGAACCAACCTGGCCTTCTTCAAAAGAGTTGTGCCCCAGGAGACTCAGGCCCGCCCCCAAAGGACGGGCCTGGAGGGGGTTGTCTCCCTCTCCCAGGCTGGCCAAGGAAACCTCCAGACTGCTGGGAAGTGAGCCGGGAACCCCAGGGTGGGTCCTGGCCAGGGCAGCATCAGGCCTGCCTGTGAAGGAAGCACCTGCACTGTGGCCTTGCTATGGGTAACTCATACTTTAGAGGAGCCCTTTGCATGGCTTGTTGGAGAGGAGAGGTGAGCTATAAGCCCAAGCCCCAAAGCTGAGGTCCGCCCCGAGGCACCTGCAGTCAGGGTCGCACCTCCCTTCTGGCCTTGAGTCCTGCTTTCAAGGCGCACAGGGAAGTCATGGCTGCCGTCCACCACCTCAACTAGAGAATGGAGGATGGGAGGTGGGGGGTGGCGCGCGTGTGTGTGTGTGTGTGCGTGTGTGTGTGTGTTTCAGGGCCTGTCCTTCCCCATGGATTTCTCGGTGCTTCTCAGAGCTGGAAGGAGCCTTAAGGATTATGCAATCTAGTGGTTTCCAAAAGACTGTCCTGCAAAGAGAGCTGGGACCAGGTGCCAACTCCAGTACCCTTCTGTGTGGTTGTGAACTCAGCTATGATGTGTGACCTATGGTTATAACAAGTGAAAGTCAAAATCTTCCTCATTCCCATGGGTTGACATTCTTCTTTTTTTAATTGGCCAGTCAGACATACAGAGAGGAGGCAGAGAGACAAAGAGGAAGATCTTCTGTTTGTTGATTCAACTCCCTAAGCAGCTGCAATGGTCAGAGTTGCGCCAGTCCAAAGCCAGGAGCCCGGAGCCTCTTCTGAGTCTCCCACGCAGTGCAGGGACCTGAGGCTTTGGACAATCCTCAACTGCTTTCCCAGGCCACAAGCAGAGAGCTGGATGGGAAGCAGGGCTGCCAGGATTAGAACCGGTGTCCATATGGGATCCTGGTGCATGTAAGGCAAGGATTTTAGCTGCTAGACTATCACGCTGGGCCCGACATTCTTGAAGAAGGTGTTGTGGGGAGGTGTGGGAAGGGCAAAGGGCAGGTGGAAAGGGGAAAGGGCAGGTGGAAAGGGGAAAGAGAAGGTGGAAAGGGCTAGATGGTCTTTCTCTGCTCCTGGGAGAGTTGAGTTTAAGGTGTGTGGGCAGCTCCTGAAGGTGGGCTGGAAGCTGAGGCACTGCTGCCACCTGCTGGCCAGGAAGAGAGGCAGGCAGGGCCATGTGTCCAGGCTGGGGTGCCAGGGCCAGGGCATTGCAGAAGGTGCATTTAAATGTGTTTGGAAAATGGGACAAAAAAGTGTTAGGTTTCTTTAGGAGCGAGAGCATTTTTTAAATCCGTGTGTGGTTTTCTGTGAGTATTCTGAAGATCTTGTCGAATGTTGAGTGGCCCGTAGGGGGTGAGGCCCTTGGAGTCCTTGGAAGGCCAGGCCTGGGCCAGTACTCTTCCAAGAGCTGTATACTGGTGGTGAGCAGTATACCGTCCCTTGGCAGTGCTGGGACACCCAGAGGAATGGGGTGGGTGTCCCCTTCTGGGGAGGTAACAGGGACCAGTAGGAAGGGGATTTACAAGCTTGGGAACCAGGACCACCTTCTTCAGGTGCACTCGTGCTTTGTGGAGGCCTGGACGGATCAATTCAGAACGGTCTGCGGGCAGCCCGTACAGACGCCAGCAGGCTCCTTGCAGCTCTAACAAGCGCTGAGCCATCGGCGTTGAGGGAGGCGGAAGGGGAAGCAGGCACAGCCGTCCACTCGTTGGACAGCAGTAGGGCTGCAGGACTCTTCCTTGTGCACTCAGGGTTCTCCACGGCCCTGACGGCGATGCCCAGGTGTCCCCTGCTACAGGCCGCCACCTCTAGGAATATTGGTGCAAGCAAGACTGGCCTCTTCCATGGACAGACCGCAGCCTAGGCGTAGGAGAAACACACGCGCTGCTCGGGGCAGCTTCTTTACACCTTGGTGCTAATTTATTTTTGAAAAAGCTATTTGAAGGAGTTACAGTGATAGAACGTGCTTCCATCCACTGGTTTCCTCTCCAGGTGGCTGCAACAGCCATTGTTGGGCCAGACTGAAGCCAGGAGCTTCTTCCAGATTTCTCATGTGGGTGGAAGGTCCCCAGCACTCAGGTTCATCAGGTGCATTAGCGGGGAGCTGCATTGGAAGTGGAACAGCTAAGACTCGAACCGGTGCTTACATGGCACATTGTTGAAGACAGCACCTTTACCCACTATGCCACAATGCCAGTGCCAGAAAGCTGGCTAAGGAGCAGAGCAGCCGTGACTCAAGACGGCGCTCCCAACGGGTGCTGGTGTCTCAGATGGTACTGTAACCTGCTGCTCCCTCGGGGCCCGTGCGAAGCAGTGCCCCGCTTGTCCACCCCCTGGAATGGCTGCCCTGGGCCTGGGAGCAGCGTGGGTGCCACAGCACAGGTCAAAAGAACTGGCCCACAGCACATGGCAACTTCTGCCTTCAAACCCTTGGTCTTTTGGCAGCGTCTCATTGCTTTGGGTCTCTGCCACTTGGCCCCACTCTCCTTAGATTGTAGGAAGGCTTAGCAATATAGTTGCTGTTCTCACACAAGCCCCTAAACTGCTAAGGATCGAAAGAAAGACCAATGGCTTTGGGTAGGAGAGAAGAGTGGGGGGGTCCAGTTAAGGAGGTGGAAGTGATGCTAAGACATGCCTGCTTCGATGCCAAGCACGCTGCTGGGCCATTGCAGGTGACTGCAGCAAGAAGGACTGTACCTTCCTGCACGTGAAGCCAGCTTCCAAGTCCTGGGACTGCCCTTGGTATGACCAAGGCTTCTGCAAGGACGGTGAGGCCTTGACACATGGGGGCTTGGGTGGTCGGCACAGAGCGGCTGTCTGTGGGGGTGGGGCTGATGCCCTGGGCAGTGTAGAGCCACACAGAAGGCCTTTCTGGGACTCTCTCTCCAGGAGGGGGAATCGTGGGCATGGTGGTTTCTGGGGGTCAGATCCTACCTTCAGCAGTGATAGGCTGCATGGCCGTGAGCAGTGACTGGACCACAGGAAATCCTCAGTAGGGAGGTGCCCAGTTCATCTGCATTCTCTTCTCCACTTGGCCCACCTGGGTGCGGCATGGGATGGGGAGGGTCCCAGAGTTACTGCAGTGTGTCCTGTCTGGCCAAAATGTCAGCGGGAGGCTCCTGGCCTGGGTCCCTGTGCCTTGAGCGCCAGAACTCTGCTTTCCCTGTGTTTTAGGCTGCGTTGTGCGTACCGAGGCCTTAGCTCTGCTGGTTTGGGGTAGGAGTGTGAGGCGGGACCATCGAGGGCCAGCTTCTCCGTGGCTGCCTGTTCTAGAGCTAACGAGTGAAAGGCAGCACATTTTGTTTCACGAAGGGGCAGGTCCTCTGGGACACCAGGTGTGTTGGCCATATCTTGAACCTCCTCGTCTCAGAACCTGCAGCTGGGGCCACCCCAGACACCCTCTGAGGGGTGTCTGCACACCGCCTCCCTAGGTCTCCTGGCTTGCAGTGGGGGCCTTCAGCAGGAAGATTAAATCACCACTTTGCGTTTCCCAGTCAGCTTCCTTTTTTGCTCAAATCTATGTGCTCCCTCTCCCCCAGATTTGTTTTGGAAGCCAGTGTTGAAGAAAGGGAAGAGCTTAGAGATCTTTCATCCTGCGACTCATTCCCTACAAGGCCAGAACAGCAGGGCTGGGCCAGGTCAAAGCCACGGGCTTCCTCCGGGTCTTCCGTGCAGGTGGTAGGAGCCCGAGGACTTGGAGCATCGTCCACTGCTGTCTCCAGCCCACCAGCAGAGAGGAGGATTGGAGATGGGGCAGCTGGGACTTGAAGCAGCGTACTTATGGGATGCAGGCATCATAGGCAATGGCTTTACCCACCACGCCACAGCACAGGCCCCTCAAATCCACTGTTTTGACAGTTTTCTCTTTGCCCTGCAGGCCCCCTGTGTAAATACCGCCATGTGCGCAAAACGATGTGTCTCCGCTATTTCTTTGGCTTCTGCCCTGAGGGGCCCAGGTGCCAGTTTGCCCAGTAAGTGTGACCCCTCCATGTCTGGCTGCCCCCACCCCCGAGTGCCGGCCCAGCCTTCTAGGTGTGTAGAGCTGTCCCTTCACTGGCAAGCTAGAGAATGCGGCCTCTGGCAAGTGAAGGCCCGCAGCATTTGCCCTGTGTCCTTGCCCTGACCCCTGGATGTCACAGTGCCATTGGCTGCTCAAACTCCAGCCGGACCCATTCCCGTACTCACGCTGGGGTGGGCACAGACAATGGCCACCCTCACACACTGCTGTAGGGACTGGTCACAGCCACTCCCCCCGACGCTCTGCAGCGCTGCCTCACTCCCTGATGGGTCCTGAAATAGGAACTAGGCAGCAGGGCATGTTAGTGGGCAGCAGGGATGGTTCGAGTCTGCCTGTAATTCTCTCTCTGCATTTCTTTAGTCCCAAGATCAATCTTACATTCAACCCAACTTACAGGAAGGTGAGTGCATGCAGGCAGGGGGCCCATGTGCCTCCCTCCCCTTTTTCCATGTCTCCCCAACCCAGCTCTGACAGTCCCAAGCACCAGTACCCTCTTCCAGCACCTGCTGAGCCCCCACCCTATGGGAAGCACACACCCTCCCACCTTCACCATCTCTCTGCTATGGGTAGGACTTCTTCCTAAACTCGGCTTTTCCATAGGTACATAACAGGTGCAGTTGTTGTTCCAGGACCCAGCTCAGGACTTGACTCAGGGCTGGCCCAGGTTCTGACACGTGCCAAGTGCTGATGAGCGAGCCCGCATCCAAGGGTGTGCAAGCAGCGACTCGCAGGCCAGACTGAGCTGCTACCTGCATTCCTATAACAGGGGAGCCAAGTGTGGTTTTAAATAGAGCTTGGGGGAAGAAATAAAAATATTTTGTGATATGTGCACATGAGTAGCTCCATGCTTTGCCGAGTTTGACTGGGGCCACCTGCAGGTGTTGGCGGGAGGGCCTCGTGGGAGGGGCTCGGGCCGTGAGCGGAGCCCTCCTGCAGTGTCAGTGAACTCTCATCCTTCCAAGCCCAAGTTAGTTACCATGGGGGCTTGGCTCGCTTGGCCCATGCTCTTTCTCTGCCTCCTTTGTCATACTCCTGTTTGCAAACACACCCTTGTCCTTAAAAAAAAAAATTAAGATTCATTTTATTTGAAAGGCAGAATTGTACAGAGAGAAGGAGAGACAGAGATCTTCCACCCATTGATTCACTCCAAACAGTCTCAGTGGTCAGAGCTGAGCTGCTCCACAGCCAGGAGCTTCTTCTGGATCTCCCATGTGGGTGCAGGAACCCAAGCACTTGAGCTGTCCTCTGCTGCTTTCCCAGGTCATAAGCAGGAAAGTGGAGCAGCCAGGATATGAACCGGCGCCCATGTGGGACCCCAGTGCTGCAGGCCTGCCAAGCCACAGGGCTGGCCTGTACCCTGGAGAGGAACATGGCCCTTACCCAAAGCTGAGCTGTAGCGGGTACCAGTTCTGGGGTTTGTGGCCTCAGGAGCTGTGAGCTAAGGGCACCTCTTTGCTTTGTAAATGGCACTGTCCTGGTGCTGTTTTGTTGACCGTGCGGACTGCCACAGGGATGCTGATGCGCTGTTCACGGTGGCAGTTCTTGGGCCCAAGATGGCACAGCTGGGTAATGTTCACTGTTTGACCTTACACTGATGTCTGCTGACTCCTGGTCATGATGACTGCATGTAGCGGTGGCATTTAAGTGTGACGCAGGCCGGGCAGGAGTGCCAGCAGTGGGGACACAGACTGGTCTCGTGGCCATCCCAGAGACCAGGAGGGAAGTGGCACTGGAGGAAGGCAGCCCATGCTGACTCTCACTGGAAAGTGGGCTGCCATCTGCCGTGACTCTGGGAGCTTCCCATGTTACTGCTGAGGCATACCATGAGCAATTAAAGCTGCACATAAGCTGCTTCCAGCCTGAGCGTGTGGCCAACATCCACCCACCCTACGGGGGTGGAGGCTGGGTGCCCGCCTGCTGGGGCTCTGGGCGACTGCCCCAGGACACAGCGCCCCCTGCTGCTCCTGCTGCAGGAGTTCCCCAGCTTCCTTCCTGGCAGTCACCATGTATATGTAAATCTTTAGGAAAGGAGAGGGACAGAATTTGACCAAGGAGAAGGTAACATCTAGGTGTTCTTTTTCTTTTGTAAATTTCTTTGTTACCTTTTGGTTTATCAGGATGAAAAAAAAAATCACACCTTCATGAGATAGCTTCTTGTGGGTCCCTGGGTTTGATTGAAAAAAAAAATTATTTTTATTGGAAAGTCAGACATACAGAGATGAGAGAGAGAGAGGAAGATCTTCCATCTGTTGATCCACTCCCCAGGCAGCTGTAACGGCCAAAGCAGAGCCCAGCTGAAGCCAGGAGCCTCTTCCGGGGCTCCCATGTGGGTGCACTCCTGAGGGCGGTTCCGGCTGCCCGTGGCCCCTCTCCTATTCCTGCCGCCTCCACGACTGCAGGAAACTGCCTATGGCAGACAGCATTCTTACACAGGCCAGCTGCTGCCATGGATGGCTTAGGTTTAAGAAATATTTGTGTCCTATGTAGGGGATTCTGGGGCAGTGGATCACCCAATAGTGGCTTGTTGGGGTTGGGGGAGAGCAGCTAGTGACACGGGACATTCTATGTTAAGCCAGGCAAGTCACTGCTGAAGTCGAACACTAAAGCAATTCAGTGCCCCCTAAAAGGCAGGCAAGCTAAGTAGAACTTTCTGGAAGAACAGAGAAGAGCAACAAGGTGGCATGGGAGGTAGGCCCAGCCCCACACCTCTGGTGGGTAAGGGCAGATGCCTGGCTTTGAGGAGTTGGAAGGTCAAGGGTGCAGAGGAATGCCTGCTGGGAAGTCACGGTTAGGAGTCTGAATGCCCCTTCAAGCTGCGTGGCTGCTGTGTGACAAAGCACTTGCCTATGTGGGCCAATTGCTTAACCTCCTCGAGCCTGTTTCCCCCTTCTAGAAGATGAGCAAGACAAGGTCTGTGTCAGGGGGCCGCCGGAAGGACAAAGAGAAAGTGCAAGCTGACAGCAGTGCATGGGTTTAAAGAGAAGCAAGGAACCCAGTGTGGCAACCTGCAGTCCAGCTGCCAGCTAGGGCCAGCTGGGTGCAGCAGCCGTGGAGGGCTGAGGCTACATGGGCCTGTAAGACCTGTGACCCTGGGTAAGCCCCTTTGCCCCCAACCATTTCCTCTCCTGAACAACCGGCCAAGGGAGTCTGTGTAGAATACAAGAAGGGTTCAGTGGGGGGATTATTCTAGAAGCAGCCTGGTAGGCCCTGGGAAGCAGCTTAGAAGAGCCTGCTTCCAGGGGCTGTTTCTGGAAGATTCTCTCCCGACAGAGCGTGTTCCCACCTTCCAACCCCAAACAACAGGGGAGCGCGAGTGTCCCTGTGGAAGAACACAGTTTGCAAAGTCAGCAGAAAAGGCACCCATGCTGCTGTAAGAAATGCTTGCTGGTTCTTCAAAAGGCGGCAAGACTGGATTACACTTATGAACCATGCCTCCTCCTCCCGCAGCATTGCAGCTCGCAGGGCTTTCTGCTGAAGGCTGAAGACTCCTCTTTACTCTCAGGTGGGCTCATGTGAACAAGCCTGCTGCTGAGGTTCTGCAGCGGGGCGTGGCCAGGCTCGGGGGGCGCTGGATGCCTCTGGACCAGCAGCTTGGTCAGAGGCAGACTGCGTTTGAGACATCAGGCTTCTGCCTCGGGGAAGGCTGTGGAGTCTGGACTGCCACACTCCAAGACCCCATGGGGCTCTGTGCAGGGCAGGAAGCCACGTGGGAGCTGGTCTGGGCAAAGAAGGGGGCATTCAGGCAGGAAGCAAGCACTGATAGTGTAAGCAAAGACCCTGCTTGATGTCCTCGCCCCACAACTCACCCCAAGGTCCCAAGGGGGTGATATTAGGTGAAGGGACACCAGAGTGTCTGCCCAGAGGGCAGGTCGTCCTGAAGACACAGCGCCTAAGTGGCAGACAGAGGCCTCAGCAGTCTGTGTGTGTTCTTGGGGGAGAACTCGGCACCAAGCAAGCCCGTGAATGTCGGCTGGGTTTAGGCAGATGAAAGTGAGTCTCCCCCATGGTTAAGCTTAGTGTTTGGATGGAGTCTAACGGCAGGTGAGGTTGCAGAACAATGGCCGTTCAGGAAGTCCCTCCTGGATTGGACCCTGCTGGGATTTAGACAGAGGACGTCACAGCTCGAGTGGGTGCAGCCATCCCCGTTTACAATCCAGAAAAAAGGGTAACTTGCCCCCCCACTTCCCCGCGGCACACCCACTTGTTTCACAGGTGAAGTTTTGGATGAGGTAAATGATGAGCTTGGACTAGCATTCTTCTAAAAAGTATTTTTATTATGGAGAGTGGTGGTGGTAGTAATAGGAGGGTTCTGCATAAAGTATAAAAACAGCTTGATGATGATTCAAATAATAATTGAGAGAGCGCTCCCATGTGCTGGTTCACTCCCCAGTGGCCGGTGCTGGGCTAGCCTGTAGCTGGGCACCTGATCCAGTTCTCCAGGGTTAGGGTTACGGTACCTGAACCCTAGCTTCTCCTTCCCACGGTCTGAATCAGCAGGAATTAGCCCTGCCACTTGGAGGCAGGCCTGGGAACTGAATCCAGGCCCTCGAATACGTGGCGCAGGCATCAACCACCAGGCTAGACGGCCCCCGCCCCACTTCTAAGACACTGCGGATTACTTACGGAAGCCTTCACCAGGGCGGATGGTGTGGAGCAGGACGCTTATTTAAGAGACAAAATGCAGAAGGCTGTTGTGCCTGGAGGATCCTGGGAAGGATTTCTTCTCTTCCCTCCTTTGTGGTAAGGGCTTCCGCAGCAGGCAGAGACCTCTAGTCTTCCGGATGCAGCCTGAATTGCCAGGTCACACGCATGGTTAGGCCTGCCCAAGTATTGGGGTATCAGCAGACACATGCATCGCAGGGCTAGCTGACAGCCAAGCTGCCGACTGGAGCCATGAAGTACATTCCTCGATCATGCTGTGCTGGCTTAGGTCTAAGTCTAGCAAAAGAATGAGCTGGTTGTCAACATCCCAAGAACTCTACGAAGCTACTCTGAACATTATGAAGAATAAAAGGTCTACGGTTCTTTTCCCAACTCTGATGGCAGCAGAGAAGGAAGACGTTCCCTCCATTGCTCCGAGGACTTTGGCCAACAGCTCCAGCATGTGCAGACGGCCAAGGGCTATTTCAAACTCTCCTGCATCATTTTATCTGATAATTCATTCCTACTAGTTTAATGACTCAGAGCTTTACTGTTGTCTGCCCTGTCTATTCAATTCCTGGTACTCACATTGAGCAGCCCCTGCCTGCCACTCCCCCACCTCAGCTCGCCTCTGGCGGAAGCCGAGCCAGGTGTCCCTTCTGGACCGCTGAACCACAGTGCGTGTCACAGCACCCTTTCCTTCAGAGGCTGATGCTTAGCATTCTGACTTTGACAAGTGATACTAATTACTGTTCTTGATGACAAAGCTGAGGGGCAGTGGGCTACCCTGGTGTGTCCCCACCGTGCCAAGTGTGCTGGGTAGTTCAGGGGGCAGCACAGGCACTAAGAGACCAGACACAAGAAGGGCTTCTCCCGTGCAAACGTCTCCTACTAACGCGGTGCTGATCCTGGGTCTGTGTTTTCTGACAGGCGGAGGGCTTGTCTTTCCAGGGCAGGGGGCCTGGAGGGGCAGCACGGGCTTCCTGCTGCAGTTGCTCAGCTCTGCCAATGTGCTGCGACACAGCCACGTGGCTGCGGACAACAGCTGACTGAGTAAGCAGGGCTGGGTGCCAACAAGATCTGGGAAAATAGGTGTGGGCTGTGGCGCGCAGATGCCAGCAGAGGGGGACCAGGGGACCGAGAGAACATTGCTGTGTGGTCAAGCCGGTGCTGGCCATGAGGAAGAGCCCTCCGGGGAGGCATGGGGTCTCTAGGTGGGTCTTCAAGGGCGTTTACAGGGGACACCCTTTGCAGAGGAGGCTGGCTGGCTGGGTGGGTGTGGGGAGCGTGGCCAGTGAAGTTCTTAATCATTCCTGCATTATGCTGAAATAGTAATTCTTTCTCTCAACTCTGATCTTTTGCTGCTCCTCATGGAAAGTTCCACTGTGCTTGAGGCACTTGTGGACAGCTTTTCCTCAAGCACAGGCTCTGTGGTAGGATGCAGTCCTTCCCATTAGAGAGCAGAATGCAAGCTTTGGGTAAACAGCGCATGAGTGCGTGCGAGCTGGCCCTTGGAAAGCCATCTGCTTTTCTGTAGTTTGGGGGGAGCCTGGACGTAGGAGGGACTCATCTCACATTTTGGCACAAGGACACTATCAGCAAAGCTGGCAGATTTTGAAAAGGTCATGGGAAAATGGAATTAAAATTGGCTTTATTTTGGTGCCAAAAATATTTGAAATCTCTATATAGTTTTTTATAATATGCATTTTTCATGCATGATGAAAAACATTTTTGCACCAAAAATACATCCATACTTTTAATTTTTATCCCCTCCTGAATACGAGCCAAAGCAGCATCTGGACAGAATCAGATCTGTCCGTCTTCATAAAAAATGTACTTCCTTCATAACTGTTGGAGATGGCAGTAATTTTATTCTCTTCACTTCCTCTCCTGTCCCAACACAATGTGAACCTGTCAGACCTGTGCTGCAGCCGTGGGCGCCGCGCTTGCCTTGGAGCTCCCAAGCTTCCCCGAGTGCTGTCCGGGTCAACATTACTTACGCCAGCGCTGCAGCTCTTTGGATAAACAGAGAGATGTGTAAGGATCCCCCGCCTCTCCTGACGGGCTCTGTCTGTCGCACACGCTCACTTGGCGCTGCGTGCTTTATGAACTGGTAGACAGTCATGAGGACAATGAGTGACCCTCACCTGACTTTCTCCCCTTAGACACGTGCTGCCAATACCAGGTTATCAACCACACGGCCCCTTTCGGGCTGGTGAAACCGAGGCAGGCTGCGTGCTTTGCCGGCCCTGGTTCTGAGCCTCATCCCTGGGGGGGATGTTGGGGTCCCCCTCCCAACAAAGTGTGGGGCAGCAAGTAGGGCTGTCTTGCAGCCCCACTCCTGCTGTCACCCCCCCCCCTCCTACTTGGCAGATACTGATGAGCAAAACCTGCCAATTATAGCCAAACCCCAACTCATTATTAAGATTTTACATAAAATAGTGTGGCCTTGTTTTGTCCATGGTTACCTTGTTCTTTTATACTGAAAGTATCTGAATTTAATCTTCTTTTTTTTAAAATTTTTTTGAAGCTTATTTTTCTAATTGGTGAAAAGTACTGAATTTGGGGGGGATATTCTTCTATAACATCTTTTTTCGTTAAAGACACATTTTAATATGAACGCCTCTGTTAATGAACTGTTACTTTGAAAGAGGGCACTTTCCCTCTGGCTGAGTTTGGCACCAGTTCCAACTCCTAGAGAGTGCTTGATTTTCAGGTGCAGGAAGGTTAAGGTGGATGGCAGTCCCAGACACTGAGGGATGGTCTGTTCTGTTCCCTCTCCCTCCAGGGCTGACGGGGCACCAAAGACGACACCTGCCCTTACAGACCGCCAGGTGGCCCGTGACAACATCAGATATGACAGTAGCAATCCTATACATTCAAGTCTTACAAAGGCCATTATAAACAAGATTTCAAATATGTACACCCCGCACCCGTGCAGCTCCACGCCACAGCTCATTCACAAAACTAAAACAACAGGGAATGGCTTACTCAGATGCCTGACACTCCAGCGACAGCAAAGGATGAAGTACCCTGTGAAGAGCATCGTGACGCCGCCAACGCCGCGCTGCCTCATGCTGCTGTTGTACCTGATCCAGCCTGTGCGAAGGGAAACGCGCCCCGCTGTCACAGGGGCCTGGAGGCAGGACCATCATCCCGCACGAGCTAGTCCAGCCAGCTCGGCTGGCGAGGATACTGGAATTGTAATTCACAGAATTTACAAACAGATGCGTACTTTATGCATTCGATCAGGGTAAATCCCAAAGACCTGACCAGAGCAAAATTATACTGCTCTCGGCTAGCTTCAAACGTGGGTAGGAGAGGATGCAGTCGGTGAACTTGAGGTTGAATCGCCCTGGCTTCCAGGGAGGCAAGTCATTATGGGAAAGTGGGAACTGGGGACAGACAGGTGGCAGAGAGAGGTGGGAGCGGGTGGTCGAGATGAAAACTGCTAGCTCACCAGCAGCTCCTGTTAGGTTTGGTGCCTTATGTCAGAGTCCAAAAGGAAAAGACGAACACAAAGCTAGGAAGATGGCCAACACCCCCCGCCCCCTTTCCTCTTCCTGGCTATAAAGCCTAAAGTCTACAGCAGCTCTCCAGGTGCCCGGGACCAGCAACAGACCCCACAGCAACAGCTCCGCTCTCACCTTTCTGTGCAGCTTCCAAGAGCCTCTTCAGCGACAAGCCGGAGGCTGGGAGTCGGCTTGGGGGCTCCACACTCCTTAGAGCAGTCGAACTTCTTTCCAACCAAGGAACTACGGTTCCAAACAGAAGCCACTGTGATTGCTCACCTCAGTTCCCCCACGTTCAGTGCCCATGTCCCCAAGCCTGGCCCTCAGGAACGGTCTAGTCTGAACAGGTGCGTTAATGGTCTTGGCCTTGCCTTTTGGCAAAGTGTTCAAAGTCAGAATCCACAACAGGTGGAAAAAGTTTTTTTTTCCCAAAGATTCAGCACCCCGCTCCCCAGCTCTACTTATTTTGATTACAATGTGCCCAGGTGACCCAGCTGCACATCCTTACCCAAAGGGCCTACTGTAGCTGCCACCTGCTACAGTAACCACCTATACCACAGGTCAAGCGTTTCTTGAAATGTCTGGGACTAGAAATAGCCCACATTTCGGATTCTAGAACATCGGAATATTTATAATGACGCTATCTCGGGGCTGGAACCCAACAGTAAATACAAAGCTAATTTCTGTCCTAGGTGCACCTTCTACATGTAGCCTGAAAACAATTTTATGAAGTATTTCTGCTGTGCCAGCGTTTGCCTGTGACTTGCTATGTGAGGGTGGGTGTGGAATTTTCTGCTAGTGTCACACTGCAGTGTGTGGCATTTGGGTGTAGTTGTTTTGAGAATATCTTGTTTAACAAACTATCAGCCAACAGATTTCATTTTATCGGTACCAAGAATACAGTAGTGAGTGACAGTAACCCCACGTACCGGACTTAAAGGTAGAATACAACTTTTCCCTCAACTCCAGGTCCCTCCCACATGGTCATCAGAAAAATAATTCCTTTTTATTGCTTTCAGGTTGTAACTAATGCTGGGATTAGTTTGGTAATCTTGTAAATCAGAGTAAGGTATGGCCCATCATAAGCTTCTGTTTCTAGTTTTTAAAGATTTATTTGAAAATCAGTTAGATTTTTGATTTGCTGATTCACTCCCCAAGAAAGCCACAAAGGCCACTGCCGGGCTAGGAAGCCAGGAGCTTCATCTGGGCCTCATGGAGGAAGGGTCCTTTCTTTTAAGATTTATTTTTTATTGGAAAGGCACATATACAGAGTAGAAGGAAAGAGAAAGATTTTCTATCTGCTGGCTCACTCCCCAAGTGGCCACCACAGCCAGAGCTGAGCTGATCTGAAGCCAGGAGCCAGGAGCCTACTCTGGGTCTCCCACGTGGGTGCAGAGTCATAAGGCTTTGGGCAGTTTTCTATTGATTTTCCTAGGCTACAAACAGGGAGCTGGATGGGAAGTGCAGCAGCTGGGACATAAACTGGTGCCCGTATGTGATCCCAGCGGCTACAAGGTGAGGACTTAGCCACTTGAGTCGTTATGCTGGGCCCATGGGATAGGTTCCAAATACTTTGGCTATTTTTTGCTGCTCATCCCAGACATTAGCAGGGAACTGGACTGGAAATATGGCAGCGGGAAATGCACTGGTACTCGTATGGAAGGCCAGCGTTAAGTCACAATGCTGGCTCTTCTATTTCTGGTATGAAATGGAAAACTATTGAAGTTCAACCTAGGATTTCTCTTCAGGCTGCGATGTTGCTCCCGAGGGTGGAGAGGCAAGGATCTCCTTCCAAGGCCAGGTCCCTCAGTGGGCCAAGCTCAGCTGGGATTAGTCTTGTCACTGGTCCTCAAGGAGCCCTGCACTCTGACCAGACAGCGCCTCCCTCCAAGGGCCATGCGTCAAAATCGACTTTCGCGGAATCTTGACAGAAAACAACACTTTGTGTATTCCCTTGCTCAGGCGAGCCCTTTGACAGGCACGGCCAGCGGGCTAAGAGCTATAGGGTTAACTGAGTGAGGTGGGAGGCTTCCATGTTACGTAGGTTTTATCCAGATAACCCTTGTGTCAGCCTGGGGACAATATATTCCCTTTCAGACATAAGGAAATTGAGTTTCAGAGAGAAAAAAATATGAAGGTACTTAAAGAATTCTTGCAAAAATGGAATTCAAAGAATAGTTTATTTTGGTGTCAGAATCAAGGGCAGGCATTGTGGTTAGACTATTGCCTGGATGCCCACATGCCATGTTGGACACACGGATGGAATCAGTTCCTGCCAAAGGCCTGGGAGGAAGCAGTTGAGCTGGGAGCCAGGGTTGGAGCTCCTGGCTCCTTGGCCCAGTCTCGGCTGTTGCAGGCATTTGGGAAATGAACCAGCAGATGGGAATTCTCCCTCCCTCCCTTCTCCATGTCCTGTTGCCTTTCAAATAAATAAACTTCAAAAAAAGACAACCATTAGCAATTTTTTGGAAACCCAAAACATCAGCTATCAGCTATACTGAGTTGTGATGGGTCTCCTGTGAAAGTACATCTCACAGGCCCAGCGCGATAGCCAAGTGGCTAAATCCTCACCTTGCATCTGCTGGGATCCCATACGGATGCTGGTTTGTGTCCTGGCTGCTCTATTTCCCTTCCAGCTCCCTGCTTGTGGACTGGGAAAGCATCAGAGGATAGCCAAAGCCTTGGGACCCTCACCTACTTGGGAGACCCAGAGGATGCTCCTGGCTCCTGATAAACAGAAAATCTTTGTATCTCCTTCTCTCTCTAAGTCTAACTTTCCCATAAACATAAATAAATCTTTAAAAAAAAAAATTCATCTCAAAGCATCACTGATCTTGAACCAAGAGATGGAGACGCTCCTTGATGACCCTAGAAAACTGGGTTCAGCTCTACGGCATAGCTAGTAGAGCCTCCATCTGCAGTGCTGCTGTCCCAGGTAAGCAGCGGTCAAGTCTTGGCTCCTCACATCTAAGCCATCTCCCTGCTAACGGTCTGAGAAAGCAGCAGGGCATGGCCAAAGCCCCCGGGCTGGGCTCCTGGCCCCAGAGCAGCCCAGCTCCAGTTGTTTTGATCATTTGGGGAGTGAATACGTGGGTGGGAGATTTCTCTCCTCTAACTCTTGTCTCTCAAATTAAAATCAATAAATCTTTAAAAAAAAAAAAGGGGGGGGGGAGAAAGAGGGTTCCTGTAAGAAAAATGAAGACATTTTACGCACTGTGACTAGAGGTGGTTCAACAACTAAATGCAAGGCTCAGTAGAAAAAAGCAAGAATATCAGAACTGTGGTGATGCCCTGGCACTCACGTGAGTTGGACACATTCCTGCAAGCCTCGTTAGCTATTGGTCAGGGGCTCCAGGGAGCATCTGAGGAGTCCGATTTCTAATTTTTGCTCCATCTTCTACCCCTGATACTTAACTAGCTCATTCCCTAAGCCTTCACTTGCACCCATCTGCCTTGATCTTTCATCCACCTTGCTTCCCATAGATAGGACCTGCTCATGCCTTCTTTGCTACTGTGAATTCTGATACTATATTTGACCATAAACCTCCAACTGATTTTCTGTACAACTTGGCCCTGATTAAACTCAGAACACATGGCTCGTTCCAGAGAGGTGACTTTGGAAGTCATTTTGTTTTTTCTTGGTCTGTTCACCTTGAACGCCCACCTGGTCTCGATTGGTCATGTCTCCCCCCAAACATCCTACCACCACCTGTGTCACCAGCCTGCCTTAGCTCAACATTCAGCAGCTGCTAGACAGAAAGAATGATAAACTATTACTGCTGACTCCTGGAGCCACAGCAACCTCTTCAGAACCGGAAGCCTGCACCGCACTGTCCAGGTGTATCTAAGCAAAGCAGTGAGGTAGGCTTGTACTCTGAGAGCTCCTTTTGTACCTGGTGAGTGGCCGGCCCCCTGGGGGCTCGGGAGCTGAGGCTTCTGGATCAACGCACCCCAATACAGAGGCTTCTCTGGCAAGACCCTCAGTCCAAGGTAGGCAGGGTAGAGTTCTGGAAACCACTCCAGCCCCACAGAGCCGGAAAGTGTCTTTCTCGCCCCAGTGTCCACACGACTGAAGAAGGGGCTGTTACGAACATGATGCTGGGCTGGCTCTAAGAACTGCTGGCACGCAGTGCGTTGGCCAGATGTGGGGTCCAGAGAGGTGTGTTCCATGCTCTCCACTGATGCTCTTACATCCGGGACTTGATGACGAGCTTCTTCCGCTTTCTCTTCTTGAAGCAGTTTGATGGCCACAGATGTGAGGTTGTGATTACTTGCCTGGAGGACAGAGAGAAACTCATTGTAGGCTCTCTCCCTGGGTGTGAATACATGTGAGCGTAGGCCTTCGTCTCGAGATGTCTTCTCTGTGGCAGAATCAGCAGTCTGGAAACCTCTGGAACCTAGGCTAGCGGAAGTTGGCTCTGGAATTTCTCTGGCTGGAACGCTTTTCTCGGCATTTCCTTTGCTCCCACCTGCCTCTCCTTCAAGGTGAAGTCCTTTTCCTTCATGCCGTTTCCCGTGGGCTGGCCCCAACGGGTTAACTGTAACGCCTGAAACGAGGGACTCTGTGTCCTTGTGCCCAGCCTCGGTGTCTCTAACACCAGCAGAGACTCCCGAGGGGCCAGCCCTTCCCAGGGCATCTCTTGCGTTGCCTGACACGGATATTTTTGGTCCCTCAGCCCCATCACTGAGATTCCTTGGTGAGCTGTGATAATCACCAGGGGGCACATCTAATAGTGTGGCCAGAAGCCCCTGTCTTTGGGGGTCAGCTGTGTCCAGTTTTAGGTCACTAGAAGCAGTATGCACATCGTGAGGTGGGGCTGAGGGGTACATCCCCCCTTGAGTTGACAGTGAAGGCTCCAGGGAGCCGATCACGAGAGAGGCTGCAGTTCCGGGATGACTGCAGCTACTGTTGTCTGATGGACATACGTTTCTGCTAAGTTCCTTTTCAGCAGAGGTGCTCTCGGGGGCATAAAGCCGAGAGTTTGTTTCTCCGTGGCGACTCGTCTCGGGTTCGGTATTTAGCATTTTGGCTGAGAGCTGGACTTGATTCTTGCTGTCTTTGTCTGGCGTGTTGGTACTACCAGCTCCTTCTGAGCCAACAGCTAGTATAGGAGAGGTCTCACTCGTCTGGACTGGCTTGTCCCTTAGTAACTTTGTACTTTTTTTCTCCCTCTCTGATTGTCCCCTTTGAGCTTTCATTCTATCTCGGATAGGCTCTTTCACTTTTGTGCCACGTGCAAGTTCGGCCGGCTTCAACTGCTGGCCTTTCTGGTCACGAGGTGAGGCCAGGCCCCTCAACTTACAATAGGGCAAGTGGGATTTCAGTCGTTTAAACGGCTTCTTACAATAAGGGCACACCTCCATTTTGGGCTGGCTGTCACCCATCTTCTTCCTGCAAAGGGCCTGTATGAAATGAAGAATATGAAAGCATATCGTTTGTCTATGTCAGTATTTCCTTTCTGTTATTTGGAACAAGTTAAAACAAATTTAATACGCATGCTTGGTATTTTACATTTCTAAAAGTCTTTCTTTTTTTAAAGATTTATTTATTTTGTTACAAAGAGGAAGAGAGACAGAGAGGAAGAGAGACAGAGAGGAAGATCTTCCATCTGATGATTCACTCCCCAAGTGACCGCAACGGCCGGTGCTGTGCCGATCCCAAGCCGGGAACCAGGAACCTATTCCAGGTCTCCCACGCGGGTACAGGGCTTTGGACCATACTCAACTGCTTTCCCAGGCCACAGGCAGGAAGCTAAATGGCCCAAAGCCTTGGGACCCTGCACCTACGTGGGAGACCCTGAAGAAGCTCCTGGTTTCTGGCTTCAGAACAGCTTAGCTCCAGCTGTTGCAGCTACTTGGAGAGTGAGCCAGCGGATGGAAGATCTTTATATACTGTGCACCCTAGCCCTGGGCTTGGCCTGTGATGTTTGTTATGGCAATTCTTTTTGTAGATGTAAATGTACAAATGTAACGCATCACACGACACCGCAGTGCACCGCAGCGCGATCAGAGTGGTCACCTGGTACCACACCGCGCTGCAACATCCCACCACGCCGCACCACACAACACACCAGACCACACTGCACCACGATCAGAGCGGTCACCTGGCAGCACACACACCACACCACACCGAGTCAAGGAACCGAAACCGGGAGAAACTGGATTTTCTGCAGCCATTGCCCCGAGGGGGGCGGCAGGGGTTTTTCTTCCAGGCTTACCGGCCTGGCGGAGGCTCCCAGAGGAGAAGCTCTCCTCGCCCTCGGCTGGTGGCCGCCTCCTCCTCCTCCTCCTCCCGCTTCCCGGGGAGCCGCCCCGAGGACCGGCGGACGACCCCGCTCCCGATCCGCTCCTCCCGGCGCCTCAGCAGTTTCCCCCCAACACACCTAGAACGCGGAAACAGCCCCCAGGCTGAGGAGCGGCCGGAGCTTCCGTCCAGCACCGCCGGACCGCCCGGGGTCCCCACCGGCACCGCTCGGAGCCCCCCGCAGGCACTGCCCGGCCGCCCGGAGCCCCCCACCAGCACCGCCCGGAGCCCCCCAGCTCTCCGTCCTCGGGGCCCCTCTCGAGCGCCTGCCCAACTCCCGACACAGGACCCAGGGCAGGCCGTCCACGCCGCTGCCTGAAGAAATCGCCCTGAGTTTTCGAAAACTATCCCCTAACAGAGAGCTAAACCGAGCCCTTGGACCCCGCGATAACGACCTGATTTCATGTATTATAAACCTGCCTACTTTTTTTTATCCTGGGTTCCACCCCTTCTTGGTGAACAGGCGAAAGCCATGGCCACCTCGGCACGAGGACCTCTCTCGCAGAAGCTCCTCCCCCTTCGGACGCGCCTCTGTCCCGTGGGCGGGGTCACCGGGCGGCGAGCCGCCGCGCAGGCGCACGGGGGCGGTACCACGGCGGCGGCGACGACATGGGGGGGCGCGGAGGAGACGCCGGAAGTGGCGGTGGTACGGGTCCGACCGAGGGGCGCTCCCCGCCGGCCGCGTCCACCCGAGCGGCGGCCAGAGCCCGGGCCCGAGGGGGTGGGCGTGGCGGCCGGCCGCTCTCGACCCCGGCCGTTCCCTCGTCGCGCGGGGCGGCGCCACGGCGCTCCCTTCCACCGGCTGCCATGAGCGAGCGCCTGCGCCCCAGGTGAGAGGGCAGCGACCGCTGGCCGGAGGCGCTGAGGGGGGCGCGCGACGCCAGGGCTCCGAGCCGGCGTGGACCGGGCGGAGAGGGAGGGACTGAGGGCCGGGCATCCCTGCTGGACCCCGCGGACGGCTGGAGGAGGGTCTCTGCCGCCGTCCCTTTCCTATTTGGGAAGGAAGTGCCAAGAGACGGTGGCCCTGCAGCGTGGCCGTCCCTCGGTTTTTTTCGGGGGGTGCGGGGCATGGGCGCAGGGATGGAGGTGGGGGCCCCTGGGGGCGCCCGTCGGGGTGGGGGGCCAAGGTCAGATGGGCGGTCTGGGCTGCTGAACCCCGCGACTGGGAGGAGACGACGAGGCCCCCCGACGGTTGGGAGTACCCGAGGGGGGCCGATCCCGAGGTGGGGCAGGATTCTAAACTGTTCGGGGGGTGCCACCCACCCCCACCCGAGCCGTGTGACTGCGGGGTGTTCTCCGAGAGGGAGGAGAAAGTTGGGATGGGTAGCCGGCGCCTGAAGACAGTCGGGTTTATTTCAGGTTAGGATTTAAGGAAAAATTAAACTCCAGGGAGAAACACCTGCACCACCCGATCCGGCTCTTTTGGGTTTTCTGCCTCTGCCTCACCTGGGACCCTTGTCTGGAACACAAGTTTTTTCCTGGCCCGGAGCTTTCTGGAACGCTCCCTGACTTAGGCCTGCTGAGCAGCCCGCGTTCCTGGCTCGGGTCAGGGAGCCAGTGGTCAGGAGGGCCCTGCCTGTGTGCAGAACAGGGGTGCACCCCGAGGGGCTGCTTACACCCCTTCTTCCCAAATGCAGTTGGTCTGCTGCCTTCTGGGAGCAGCTCACCTATCGGGAGAAGGCTGAGCCATTTCCTACAATAAAGCGCTTGTACTGAGTCCTGGCTCCGGGGAGTGTCCTTACTGTGGCAGTGGTGGTCCTCACCCGCTAAGCCAGTGGTGGCACCGTGTTTTTGCGGTGCTGGGCAGGTTTTCTGCTAGTTCTTTCCCCTCACCTGGTGTTTCCAAAGGTGGCCGGGCCCTGCTCTGCCTGCGTCAGCCGCCTTGCTCGCTCGCGGTCCGGCGCTGCTTTGAGTGTTTGCTTAGTTTCCAGCTGAAAGGTCAGCTCGTGGATTTTCAGGCTGTTTCTCAGCCGGCTGCATTTGCGTGTGAGTCGGAGGGATCCGTGCTTTTTGCCTGTGACAGATCCTTTTGATCAAAGAACTCTTGTATTTTGTATGTGTTGAGAAAGAGTTCTGCTTTAAAGAAAATCTGAAAAGCATGGAGGCCCGTACTCTCACCTTGTGTCACTGTTGGTCTAAGAGGCGACAGAAAATGGGAGGTAAGCAGAATAAAGAAATTGGTGATGTCAGCTCTGCTTAGAAGTGCCACAGGCTAAACAGCCGTCGGCTCAGCCAGCAGGGAGAGTCCATCAATGATAGGGTGCCTGCTGAAATTACAGCCTGGCCTGTGGCATTAATGCCCAAAGCTGTAATTGGTGAGGATGCAGTTGTAATCCTGCCAGTTCCCAGGCAGTGTTGTGTAAAGGTTTCAGGGATGGGGTCTTCCAGTAGTCTAGAAAAAGGCAAATGAGAAAGTGGGTGAAGTTTCTGTGGTACTCTGTGAGGGGAAGGGCTCTCTGGGGGCCAGAGAGAACTCTGGGTCCAGAAGGAACCTGCTGCTTCCGAGGCTGGGACACTGAGTTCAGCTGGAAGGCGCACAACCAGCCAGTCCTCTCTTCCTTCACTCTGCTGAGCAACCTCCTTGACACCCATGTTGTCACTGCAGGCACATGTTCCCCATTATAAACAAGGAAATGGCAAATTTTGGTCAGCCTCATACATTTGAATCAGGTGACTCAGCAGCCCAGAGCAGCAATTGGCTGTTGTCACCTGATAAAGTGAGAGTGTGGGGACAGGCTTCTGCCACTGGCCAAGTTCTCCCTGGGTGTCCCCTGCCTCCCGTTAGATGTGGCTTTGCTCCGGCAGCACACTGCCATGCAGATGCACTTGGTCGTGTGAGGACCAAGGTAGCAGTCTGAATCTTAGGGTCATATCCCATCCACTCAGGGCATCTTAAAACCCGATCATCACCTGTTTCCTGTTTTTTTCAACCTGGCAGAAACTTAGGTGAAAATAGTTATGTTGTTTTGAAGCAACTGAATTTTAGAATGAGGTAACTGGTGTAGCCCATAACAGGTTGCTTAAAGTTTTATCAGAACCATGTGCTGTCATTTCAGACCTAAACTGAAATGTGTGTATGTTATTGAAGTTAGACATATTCAGAGTGTTGCAGACTACAGAGAGTTGAGCCCAGGGAAGGCGAGTGACGGAGGAATAGGGAGAGACGGAGATCTGTCACTGCAGTCAGACGCTTGAGCAGTCATCGTGTCGGGCTGCAGCCAGGGCTGCTGTGTGGATGTCTGTGGACGGGCCAGGGCTGAAACACTTGCTCCCAGGCTAGTAGCAGGAAGCTGGGTCAGAAGTGAAGGGCCGCACCGAGGACTGTCAGTATGAGCATCGAGAACTACATCCCAACTGCCAAGGAAACCATGGGGAAATGGAGTGCCTTTGGAGGCCGAGAACTGGGAGGTCACCCACCCCCATTTGGATCTACCTCATGGGATGGAAGAAGCCCAAACCCTGCCTTGCAGGATCCAAAGTCATCGGAACGACAACCAGGAGCCCTGAGCGGTCCGCAGAAACAGAAGAACAGTAAACTTCCTTCGGGACTAGGGAGAGGAGCTTTCTCTGGTCCTTGCCTGGTTCCGACTTTGGGTCCCCACACCCTCTTGTAATGACCATCAGAATAGCTCCAGAAACCCCACAAAACTAACAAACAAAAAACCTAGAATAGATAGAGAACAACAAGGAAAGCCTAGCAACAGACAGGAAACGGTCAGTAGGGATGCACTTATAATTCATTGGGTGGGACACATAGATTAGTTACTCCTCACTAAGGTATTGAAGATTTCTCTGCACACCCCTCCTAAAGCTGTTCACCTAAACTGTTGACATATGTCTTGTTATAGAGTTAGACTACCCGAAAAACAGCCAGGTTCAGCAAAATCATGCTTCAATGCTATAAACTGCTAAATACTAAAATTAAAATAGACATGAGACTGCTGAATAGTAATCTGTAGCCATGTTAAGGTGTATAGAAACCAGCTGTATAGAAACTAATAATTGAAATGTCAATGTAGAAGTCACAGGATGTTCAGAACTTGCATTTTTTTCTCTTTTAACACATTGGTTACTCATTACCATGTTAACTAATTCCATAACTTTATAAATTGTTACTGATGTAATATCGGGCTTTTAATTGATCAGGATAATACTGTGCCACTGTGCCAGCTCTGCCTTCAGACCAGAGATGGTCTCCCCAAGAAACCATTGAACTTATCTGGACAGTAAGGTGCTGGACTTTATGCTTGGTAGATGCTTGCAATGAAAGAATCTCAACTGAATTTGAACTGTAGTAACGCAACGAGGTGGAGGAATCCACCATGGGGAGGAGGTTTTGGGGGGGGAATCCCAGTGCCTATAAAACTGTGTCACGTAATGCAGTATAATCAATGAAAAAAAGTGAAGGGCCAGAACTTGAACCAGCTCCTGGTGAGGGATTAGGATGTGGGTGCCCCAAGCTGTGGCTTAATCCGCTGTGCTGTAACGCCTGCCTCAGCAGGGTATCACGTAGTATCCCTAGTGGCTAGACACTGGTCCTTGGGTTTAGGACCTGCCACAGAAAGCTGGTCTCCTTAACCCGGAAGTATATAACTATGTAGGAAATCGAAATTTTTTCTTTTATTTATTTTTTTTTCGAGATTTATTTGTTTTTTATTGGAAAGTCAGATATACAGAGACAGAGAGGAAGATCTTCCATCCGATGATTCACTCCCCAAGTGACCACAACAACTAGAGCTGTGCTGATCCGAAGCCACCAGGAGCTCTTCCGGGTCTTGCACACGGGTGCAGGGTCCCAAAGCTATGGGCCGTCCTTGACTGCTTTCCTAGGCCACAGGCAGGGAGCTGGATGGGAAGCAGGGCTGCCAGAATTAGAACAGGCTCCGATGTGGGATCCTGGCACATGCAAAGCTAGGACTTTAGCTGCTAGGCCTCAGTGCCGGGCCCCAAAATAGAAACTTAAAAACTTGCCAAAACGCTTTTTGTCATTTTCACTGTTGAAATTTGAGAGAATAGGTATGGCAACTCTGCACCTAGGAACCCTCTGGCTGGCCCTGGCCAGTAAGTAGAACTGTATGCCATCCAGGAATGTTCTCCATCTGGGTTGCTCAGGGCTAGCACCCACCAGCCCCGAAGGCTGTTTCACACTGGGCATGTGGCTACTGACCCAGGAATGGATTCTGAGTTTGTTGTTGGCACGGGCCTGTGGGGTTCAGGGCTGCCATATTGGACAGTACAGTTCCAGGCAGTGAACTAAAGGTTAGGCTTCCTTTATCTCTTTGCTAACTGGTTGCAGGACTTCTGACGTGCTTGATTCTTGCGTGGAGCGCATGCGGATTTTTTTTTTCTTGTCCATCTGAGAACACTTGCTAGAGAAACATGCAATTTTCCTGTATCTGTGTGTGTGTATATATATATAATTTATTATTTATTTATTGGAAAGTCATATACAGAAAGGAGGAGAGACAGAGAGGAAGATCATCTATCCGATGATTCACTCTCCAAGTGACCACTACGGCTGGGGCTGCGCCGATCCAAAGCCAGGAGCTTGGAGTTTCTTGCAAGTCTCCCACATGGGCTCAGAGTCACAAGACCCTGGGCCATCCTCGACTGCTTTCCCAGGCCACAAGCAGGGAGCTGGGTGAGAAGCAGGGCCGCTGGGATTAGAACTGCTACCCATGTGGAATCCCGGCGTATGCAAGGCGAGGACTTTAACCCCTATGCTATCTCACTGGGCCCCATGGTTTTCCTTTTAAGATCCATTGTTGGATTGTCTTTGTCTTCCTTGTGGTTGAATTTCAGGAAAAGGAGAAGGAATGGCAATGAAGAGGACCACCACCTTCCCCCGCAGACCAAGAGGAGCAGCCGAAACGCTGTCTTCCAGGAGTCCTGGGACACGGAGGTAGGCAGGCGTGCGGGTCACTGTCTCCACTCCATGGCAGCAACCCAGCCTGGGCCGCATCGTTCAAGGACATTATTAATGAAAAACAGGTGATGGCTTGATGATGATGGCTAAGAATTCCCTTCCTGTTTGAAGAAGCTGTGCAGCCTCTCGTTCGGTTGGTAGTTCATGTTTGGGTTCACACACACACACACGTGTGTACTCTGTCAGTGTTGTATTGGAAGTCTCAGGGACCTTTGAAAGCCCGTTTTTGAGCCCCCTATTTTGCATTGCAGAAATCAATTTTCTGATAGTTTAAGCTGTTAAGAGCCATTGTCATTATCCTTGTTGCTTCGGTTCACTTGACTTTGGTAGAAACCAGAAGCATGCAGAATATGTAAGGTTTGTGTCTTTAAAACCTCTCTCTTTGAAATATTTATTTATTATTTATAAATATTTATTTTATTTTTATTAGAAAGTTAGGTGTACAAAGAGGAAGATCCTCCATCCACTGACTTACTCCCCAAGTGGCCACAATGGCTGGAGCTGAGCCAACAGGAGCCAGGAGCCTCTTACAGTCTCTTACATGGGTACAGGGTCCCAAGGCTTTAGGCTGTCTTTGATTGCTTTTGCAGGCCACAAACAGGGAGCTGGATGGGAAGTGGAGTAGCGGGAATTAGAACCGGTGCCCATATGGGATCCTGGCACGTGCAAGGCAAGAACTTTAGCCATTGAGCTACTGTGCTGGGCCCAGGATTGATTTATTTTTATTGAAAGACAGATTTACAGAGAGAAGGAGTTACAGAAAGATCTTCTTTCTGCTGGTTCATTCTCAAATGCTTGAAATGGCTGCAGTTAGTCTCATCCAAAGCCAGGAGCCAGGAGCTTCTTCTGGGTCTCCCATGTGGGTGCCAGGTCCCAAGGCTTCTGGCCAACCTCTGCTGCTTTCCCAGGCCACAAGCAGGGAGCTGGATGGAAAGTGGAGAAGCTGTCCATATGGGATCCCAGCGTGTGCGAGGCGAGGATATAGCCACTTGAGCCATCGCGCTGAGCCCCCAAAACCTCTCTTAAGTATTGTGGGGGCAGTGAACAGGGAGGCTACAGTTGTAGTTTCCTAAAAGTTTGCATTCTACGGGGAAGGAAGCCAACTCTATGGTCATGTTTCTATTAAATTATGCACCTGATGATTTTTTTTTTTTTTTTTTTAAAGATTTATTTTTATTATTTTTTATTGGAAAGGCGGATATACAGAGAGGAGAGACAGAGAGGAAGATCTTCCGTCCGATGATTCACTCCCCAAGTGAGCGCAACGGGCCGATACTATGCCGATCCGAAGCCAGGAGCCTCTTCCGGGTCTCCCACGCGGGTGCAGGTTCCCAAAGCCTTGGGCCGTCCTCGACTGCTTTCCCAGGCCACAGGCAGGGAGCTGGAAGGGAAGCGGGGCTGCCGGGATTAGAACCGGCGCCCATATGGGATCCCGGGCGTGCAAGGCGAGGACCTTTAACCACTTGCGCCACCGCGCCGGGCCCAACCTGATGATTTTTACTCTAAAATAATTTTAAAATGTAGGTTTGTTAATTTGAAAGCCATAACGGGAGAGAGATTTCATCTGCTGGTTTATTCTGCAAATGCCCAAGTCTCCAGTGCTAGTTCAGGCTGAAGCCAGGTGCCAAGGACTCCAGCCGTGCCTCCCATTTGTGGCAGGGTCCAAGTACTTGGGCCATCCTCTGCCTTGGCTGGGACACCAGCAAGAAGCCAGATGAGAAGAGGATCTGCTAGGACTTGAACTCTTCTATGGGAAGTGTGTATGCTGTCTCAGGCGGAGACTTAAACCACTGTGTCATGGTGGAGGCTCTGACTGCAACAGGTGTTGCACTATCAGAGAAATGACAGACTCCAAAGCCGTGATCTCACAGCTCACACGCCGCCCAGTTCTCACCACTGAAAGTGTGTGCCCTTTAATCACGTCCTGACAATGGGATCTGACCCATTTTTAGTTTGTCTTTACCAGTAATTCAAGTAACTCCCCTAAGTGGCAGAAATCAGTAACTGTCATGCAGGAGTGCCCATTTAGGGAATATTAATGAACAGGTTAAGATTAAAATCCATTTATGGGGGCGTGGCGTGGTAGCCTAGTGGCTAAAGTCCTCGCCTTGAATGCCGTTCAAGTCCCGGCTGTTCCACTTCCCTTCCAGCTGCCTGCTTGTTTCTCCTGCCTTCGGATCAGCGCATCTCCGGCTGTCCAGCCACCTGGGGAGTGAGCCAGTGGATGCAAAATCTTCCTCTCTCTGTCCCTCTGTGAATTTGACTGTTCAATTAAAAAAAAATTTTAAAAAAATTCCACCTATAGGAAGACTGGACTTTCTATGGGTTTTTTCATCCCCATCTCTTTAAGGTCTGTTCTTCTTTTATTCAATGATTAACGGAAAAGTAATTGAGCTTTTGTTTAATGTAATAATTGGAAAATTTCAGGGATGAAAGAAAACCCAAGACTTGTAGCTCCCGTGAGCATCTTATGATAAAATGGTAGTAGTGGTTGAGTTTCCACTGTTCTTTTGGGTTTGGAGACTATTTGCTAAAGGACTTTGCAGAGTCTGTTGTTACTTGTGTCTAAGTGCAGCACGGGAGCTCTGAGCTGCACTGTGTCTAGCCATGTATTTGTTTTCTTATATCTATGATTTTAATGACTGCAAACAAGAGTAGAAATCCTTTTTAAATTTATTTATTGTTTATATTCGGTAAACAGATTTACAGAGAAAGATCATGCATCCTCTGGTTTACTCCCCAAATGCCCACAGCAGCCAGAGCTGAGACCCATAGGGAGCCAGGAGCCTAATCTGGGTGTTCTGTGAAGGTGCAGGGTCCCATGGCTTTGGCTGTTCTCCACTGCTTTCCCAGGTTAGAAGCAGGGAGCTGGATGGGAAGTCAAGCACCTGGGACACGAACAGCTGCCCGTATGGGATGCTGATGCTTGAAGGTGGAGTATTAGCCTGTTGAACCACAGCGCCAGAGCAGAAATGTTCTTTTTAAGGTGAACATTTTTGGTCTCTGGGTAAGACAGGTGCTTTAATCTTAGTTTAACTGTTGTTTGCGCAGATGACCTTCACTTTCTTTCTGAAATCTGTGCCTCAGTGTCCCAGAAAAAACTAACGTCTTGTTATTCAGTGTCTTGGGACACTCGTATTTGTTCTTACCCGTTGAACCCCTATGTGATTCCGAGCCTGACGGGCAGGGTGGATTGTCCGTGTTCCTCTGCAGGGTCCGCGCGGATGTCTGTGTCAGGTCATCAGGTCATCAGGTCCTGCTGCTGGTGGAGCGTTTCCCAGGGTGGGGTGAGCAAGGAGGAGAGCCAGGGAGCAGAGCACAGGGCATCGCCATGGCAAGGGAGGAGCTCAGGGCATCTCATGGCAAGGGAGGAGCTCAGGGCATCGCCATGGCAAGGGACGCCTTGAGGACCTGCTCATACTTGCAGCACACCAGGGTCAAGTTCAGCGGCATTGGACTGCCACTTGACAGTAGTGTGTGAGAATGATGCAGTCTTGGGCAGTTATTTTATTAATGTATATAACAGTGTTAATGGAAATGGGTGCCTTTTGCTCTGAGAGGGCCAGAGAATAAACTTCCTTGAGAATGACCTACATAAGAGAAACCACTTCCTGTGTCTTTCTTGAAACACTTAATTTAAGAATTTGCTTAAAATCTAAGGGAGAGTTAAAATTGTTACTTATAATTAGTTTCCAAAAATTATGTTTCTCCTCAGTGTAGTGATCAGTGGGCAGCACTGAGGGAGGAGCTGGGAGGCATTGGAATCCTGGACTTCCCCACGTGTGCTTGTCACCTGGGAAACGAGCTGGTGTCTGCCTCACTGTCCCTGAATGCTTGAAGCGAAAGTACGTGAGGGAAGCAGAAACTCATTTCTGTTTGGCTTTTTTCATATTTTAGTAAGTTTTACATTTTTTTTTCTTTTTTCCTCCTCTTTTCTTGAGCGGCAGAGAGAGAATGCTTGCCCATCTGCTGGTTGATGCCTCTGCAGCCTCTGACGGCCCTGCCAGGCGGAGGCCAGGACCTGGCTCCCTGAGTCTGCTGGGGTGGCAGGAAGCCAGCCCCCTGAGCCGGCGCAGCTGCCTCAGGGTGTGCCTGAGCAGGAAGCTGCAGTTGGGGGCCCTGCATGGGGTGCCACTAGGGATTTTACCTTCACTTTTCAGTAAGAGAGCAGGGGTCCCACACAGATGCTTGTGTGTGCGGTCACCAGAGGACACGGCGCAGAAGTTGTGTCCGAAGGCGCTGAGATCCAGCAGGCCTGTCTTACAGCCAAGGGCACAGAGAAGAATGCTGCGCCGCCTCCTCTTAGTTCAGGGGAGGAAATATATATATGTATACACACATATACATATATATATTTAAAGATTTGTTTTTGCTGGAAAGGCAGGTTTAGAAGAGATAGTGGTTTACTTCCCAAATGGCCGCAACAGCTAGAACTGAGCCGATCCGAAGCCAGGAGCCCAGAACCTCTTCCAGGTCTCCCATGTAGGTGCAGAGTCCCCAGGCTTTGGGCCAGCCTCAACTGCTTTCCCAGGCCACAAGCAGGGAATTGGATGGGAAGCGGGGTGGCCAGGACTTGAACTGGCGCCCATATGGGATACTGGCACATGCAAGGCGAGGATTTTAGTTGCTAGACTACCATGCCGGGCTCAGATTTATTTATTTTTATTGAAAAGGAAGATTTACAGAGTGAAGGAGAGAAAGATCTTCCGTCCACTGGTTCACTCCCCAAGTGGCCACAACAGCCGGAGCTGGGCTGATCCAGAGATCTCCCCCATGGGTACAGGGTCCCAAGGCTTTGGGCTGTTCTCGACTGCTTTCCCAGGCCACAGGCAGGGAGCTGGATGGGAAGTGGGGAGCTGGGACAAAGAAGTTTATGGAAGTTGCATATTGTAAAAACCTGTGTATGCATTTAAACATATTTCTTTGTCCAATTAAGTATCTTTTAATCCCATTTCCCCATGGGCCTTAAGTCCTTTCATAGTGGAAATGGAACTGAGAGTTGTCTGGGTATAAATGGGTTGTCAAACGGACTTCCCACCCTGGAATGTTGGCACGTGACGCAGTCTCAGCTAAGGCCCTGGGGAGCACTCTGCTGCTGGAGGCGAGCCAACGGGCCCCGTCTGCCTTCCTCTCCTCTTCCTCTGCAGTGTCCTCCCTGCCACCTGAGGTGAGCCCGTGGGCCCTGCCGCTGTGCTCTGGGTCCCTGCTTCCTGCTCTGCTGATGGTTCCAGGCTACTGCTTTTTGCCTAGCAAGGGGGTGTTTTCTTGTCTCTTCCCCTCCCTTTCTGTGTTCTATCTTTTCCTCCAGCCCTGCCCCAGCTTCCTTTATGCTTGCTGTGCTCTGTGCACGGGTCTGTGATGCCTTAACCCACTGCACCACGGTGCCAGCCCTAGGCTTTTTGGTTTCAGAACACAAAAGCAGTCTTACTGCTGGATCTAAAGATAGGGATGGGGACTTTAGGGTTAACAGCAAGTGAAGGCTGCTTGGTCGGTGTGAGCAAGTTGCTGTGGTAGCCGACAGTGCTGATTCACTACTTATTTAAAGGCTTTTTGACTGTCCTGTAGAAAGTTTTAAATGTCAGCAAGAACATAGCATGAATAGTATGTATGTGAGTAATTGAAAAAAGTTGGAGTACACAAAATGGAATGTTCAGAGTGAGGATTATTGTTGGGCCAGTGTGGTGGCCTCGAAAAAACTGTGGCCTAATGGTGATCCTTACCATGGGAGACATTTTCATTTTGTGTGCTGGCTGTTACTTATTGCTGGGTTTTGCCCTCATTTTGGACATTTTTGGTGCATTTGTAGATGGTGACATATTCCTGTATCTCTGACATGAAAAAAACTGGGTTGGCAGAAATCAGAAATTGAATTGTGTTTGAGAGAGCTGCACAGTGGAGCTTAAAAAATGGGTGGAAACTGGAATAAAAGATTAGGCGATCTTGCTGGAATTTCTGGAAATTTCCTTGTATTGTTTTTACCTTTGACAGTAATATGGATGGACCCTGTTATGTGTGTTGAAATGGTACATAAAGTACAGTCACCTGGATTCGATTGAGCTGTTTATTGGTTTAAAACTGTTGTTGTCTGCTCTGTGCAAGGGAGCTTTACAAGTTGTTTTTTTGTTTGTATTTGAAAGGTAGAGTTACAGGCAGAAGGAATGATAGCAGTCTTCAGATCCCTGCTTCATTCCTCATAGGCTGCCGGAGCTCAGCCTGCCAGGAGCAGGAGCTTCTGGGTCTCACGTGGGTGCAGGGACCCAAGGGCCCGCCGCTGCCGCCCTCCCAGTCCCTAAGCAGGAGCTGGATCGCAGGTCGGCACTCAGATGGCAGAGGATTAGCTTATGAAACCACAGTGCCATCCCCCAGGTCAGGAGTTAGGGGAACTGAGACAGGCTTCCTGCAATTTTACCCATTTATAAAAACAAAGTTTTTTTTTTATTTGAAAGGCAGAAAGATACAGATCTCATATCTACTGGTCCATTCCTCAAATGTGCTTGAGCACAGGTTGAAGCCAGCTCTGTCCAGGTCTCCTTGTAGTTGGCACAGGTTGAGGGACCTGAGCCAGCACCTCCTGCCCCCGAGGCCGGGCAGGAGCTGGCGGGGCAGCCAGGACATGACGGAGGCGCCCTAATGCAATACCAAGGAGGGTCTTAACACTCGCACCAAAGGTCTGCCCCTTGGGAGCTTTTTAATTTTTATTTTTAAAAGATTTATTTTATTTGAAAGGCAACAAAGAGAGCAGGAGTGACCCCGACAATCTGTCCACTAGTTCACTCCTCGCATGGCCACAGGACTGGAACACTCAGACCAGGAATTTGATGCGGGCCTTCCACGTGGCGCAGAGGCCCAGGCACTTGGGCCGTCCCTCGCTGCTTTCCCAAGCACACCAAAGCCTTGCTCTTAGTTTTTCAGTAGTAATGTTTAGTTAACTTAACATGATCATTTTTTCCCCTCAAAAGAATTATTTATTGTTTGAGTTCTAATAAGTAAAAATATTAGAAGTAAAATAGACAATCTAGATTTTAGAAGTTTATTTAAATATCTTGCTAGACTGTTTAGGGTGAATATAAATATGTGTGTGTACATGAATATGTTAAAGAAAACAAGCATATTATGTGACATACATATTTATTATAAACTAAAAAATGTTAAAGATGTTTCTGTGTTTTAATTCAAAATGTCTTCATTAGTGACCAATAGAATTTCATTGTGTTTATACTTGGGTGTATTTTAATTTAACCAGGTCCACACTGTGTGGGTTTAGGTATGGGTAACAGTTTTTAGTCTTTATAAGAAGAGTAAGCATTCATGTATATATCTGTGTAAAGTTGAGCTGCAAGCTTTAAAAACTACTTAGAAATTGCAAGTATATTCACCACCACCACCCCTTTAAGCATTGTAAAGAAATCTTTCCTAACATGTTGGATTTTATAGAACTTCCAGCTTTTTTCAGAGTAATGTTATTCTTTGTATTAAAGTATACATAAATACTTGAGATGAAAGCTTAAGTTTGCTAGGAACTGATTCCGGTTCTTGCCTTACCATTCAGGCAGCACTGTGACGAAGAGCAGTGCCGAGAGCAGACCGGAAGCGGTGTGCTCGGCATGGGCGCTTGGGAGTGCAGCGAGCGGCTTGTTGGACTAGGTTGTTACACTAGGTTAGGACAGGACTTTTGTGGCGTAGTTTTGGTCTTGAATTTGACCTCTTATGTCTTCAGTTTAATTACCTCTGCTGCTAACTTTACCATGTGACTTCATTCAGAAACATACTGGAACACGTTTATGAGGTGCTTTAACTGTAGGGAGATTGTTTCCTGTTACTGTGGGCAGGGGAATATGTGACCCATCCTAAAGTGGCTCAAAATGACATGTGGAGCATGGCAAATCTTAATTTGGTTACTGAAGGATTCTTTGTGAATATTGCTTTTTGGTTTTTGCTGTTTTTTTTTTTTCTTGTATCTGTTTCTTTTATTTCTTTTTTTATTTGAAAGGCAGATTTGCAGAGAGAAGACAAAGATCTTCCATCAGCTGGTTCACTCCCCAAATGGCCACAATGGCCAGATCTGAACTGATCTGAAACCAGAACCCCAGAGCCACTTCCAGGTCTCCCACACGGGTGCAGGGTCCCAAGGCTTTGGGCCGTCCTCCACTGCTTTCCCAGGCCACAAGCAGGGAGCTGGATGGGAAGTGGAGCAGCCAGTATACAAACCAGCACGCACTGGGATCCTGGCACATGCAAGGCCAGGATTTAGCCACTAGACTATTGCGCCAGGTCCAATTACTACAATTCTAACTTTCTGAGGCATTTATTCCTTCTAGTACATTATTGTGTTGAATTATAAATATAGGAATTGCAAGTCAGGTTACTGGAGTTGTAATTTATTAGCAATATAGTATTAAAATTATAAGATTCCTTGATTGAAAAGGGATCCTTTAGCATTACCTAACCTTCAAGAACCTAAATGTTGGCAGGCAGGAATTTCAGGTGACTCTTACTGAAATTGCTGAGACACACAAGTCTCGTAGTTACATCCAAGAAAAAGGGAGGCTTGTTTGTACACCTTTGTGCACACATACCCACACTGAACCCTGCAACAGCACTAACAGTGTTCCCAGCCGCCTGTTGGTGTCCTGTGCATCCACGAGATGACGGCAGAATTGCCACGGGTTTTTCTTCAGCTGCCGTGGATATACCTTAGTTCGTGCCGAGGGTGCCACTTTCTCTTGGGGCTGAGAACTGGAATGGATGGTCACAGTAGGTGGAGATGGGTAAAGGGGTGGAGACGGGGTGGGAGGGAGCCCAAGTCTGTGTTGGAATGTGACCCCACTCCCTCCCAGGGCTGCAGTGAGTAGCCAGTGCATCCCATGGCCGCTGCAGCCTGAGTGGCCGTGAGGGTGAGTGCGAGGTCTTCGATGAATGGACTTTGTAAACTCGAAAGTCGCTGCCTGTTGGGGCTGGCGCTTGGGCTGAATCGGAAGCTGCCTCTGAGCAGGGCGCAGTACGGGCGAGCACAGGAGAACCCTGCAGTGGCTGCTCGTGACCATTTCTTCTTTGCCTTTCAGTCTTCCAGCAGTGACAGTGGTGGGAGCAGTAGCAGCAGCGGCAGCAACATCAACAGCCCGGACAGAGCCAGCGGGCCAGAGAGCAGCTTAAGTCAGACCATGGCCGGATCCAGCCCCAACACCCCGCAGCCCGTGCCCGAGCAGTCCGCTCTGTGCCAAGGCCCGTACTTTCACATCAACCAGACCCTGAAGGAGGCCCACTTCCACAGCCTACAGCTCCGGGGGCGGCCTCCGACCTGATGCGCCGCAGTGGCTTGCCTTCTGTGAAGGGACAGTGCTGTGCGAATTTTTCAACCTTTGATCTGTTTTTAAAAAAATTGCACACACACACACACACACAAAATGCCTGTTGGCCTTTCAGTCTATATTTGAAATACCAGGGCAACAGGTAGTTGTTTACTTGTGGTTTTGCTACACTATTGCAACTTCAAAGGGGCTTTGAAGCAGTTTTTATAGGAGTCTTGAGGGAGGTATTGGCTCCGTGTCCAGGTGGTAGAGTGAGGAACCCTCATCTGTGTGTTCAATCCATAGTATGTCCAGTTTAGACTGACTTCCAGATCTGTCCAGTAAGTCTACTTTATGTAAAAGAGCCTTTTAAAAAATGTGGCATCTTCAATTTTTTTAAATAAACTAGTAAAGAGTATCTAATTTCCATGGAAGAAAAAAAAAAAAAAAACCTCCCCCCCCCCCCCCAAATGTAGAAGTCTTGATTCAGTGTTGCACTGAAATGTCTGCCATACTACCTCTCGGCATGTGGGTGTTCTGTGGCCAGGCCTCTGCTCAGGAAGAGGGCCGTCTGACCCAGTTAGGGCTGAGGACAAAGCACCCCCAGGAACCGTCTGTTAGATATTTCTGTTGCCAGGGAGAATGTGACTCTTGGATACCCAGATCACGGTGTGTTGTGTCTCAGTGTCCCTCCTGTCCACATCACCAGGAAACACCGCACAGTTCCTCAAGAAAGGCAGAGGTAGTTCTCACAGCCTCGTGCTGTCAGCAGCTAACGTGATCTCACTGAGCAGCCCACAGCGGAGGCGTCGGTGGGCGCTGACTAGAAGCGAGCGGTACCCGCACTGATGATAAAATTAGCAGGTGTGGTGAGGCTCTTGGACAGGGATTAACTCTGTGCTTAAAGTAATCCCAAGCAGGAAGCAGGGGGCTGCATTCCATCCTCGACACTGGGAAGAGTGGTGCGGCTAGGAACAGACGAGCAGAGGCCTCTTCAGAACTGACGTGGTAGTATTTATTTATTTAGAAAGGCTACTTAGTCATACTCGACAGCCAGCCAAGTTTGAATAATGAAGGCGTAGCCGTGTCGTCTTCCTCATTGACCAGCTGTCTGAACAAGGAGCCAGCGTGCATCGAGTCTTCTGCTGCGGAGGGCGCCGGCGGGTCGGCCTGCTGGTGGATGTAGAGCAAGTGCCTTAGTCCCTCCAGCCCCCACCCGCTCCCCCTGCACTGCACTCGGAGCCCACACGGTGCCCAGGTGGGGCTGGGACACACGACAGCACCAAGACATGGCTGGATGTCAAGATTTGCAAAGGACTTTGGGAAAGAGCGTGAGATTTTGTTACGTAATGGAATTAAAAGGTGAAGCTAAGGGTCGTCCTAGGAAGCGGGTAAGCACAGGCTCCCGTCCACCCCCTGCTCTCACATGGGTGAGCCAAGGCTGCTTACTACGGAGGGAGCGTGGCATGCCGGGAAGGCGCCCCACAGCTGTGCTTACCCAAGGGCAGTGTGTGCAAGCGCTTTCCCCCCCAGTACCATCTACCGAAGTTGAAAGGCAGAGGCTGGGTGAGAATTCTTAGCGAATTTGAAGGCAGGGACTGTGGCAGGACACACTGCTAGCATTCTGACTGCAAAGGCAACTACCAAGCACATTAACACAAGCCATGTGAGCTCTCAGACACCAACACAACACCGTGCAGGTACCCCGAGTAGTCCTGCGGGCTTTAACGGACGGCATCCTACCAAAACAGAACGCAGGTTAACGAGAAAAGGTCAAACCAAGGGAAGCTACCCAGGCAGGTGTCAGTGGAGGATAGCACTGTTCTCACCAGAGCTAGGTTTTTCCCAGTTAGAACAATCTCGCTGCTGTGTTGGCAGTTATTCTAAATAATACGAGCATTGGTCTCTATCCTGCCCTGCATATTTTCTAGAAAACATTTCTATTCTGAGGCTACTTGGTAGTGTCAATGGGCATCCTTTAAGACTGCTCTTAGCGCGAGCTAGCAAAACCTGTAACTGCTCTGTTGCGTTGCCATTAAAAGCAGCATTAGTACATTTTGTCATTCAGCTCTTTATGTCGATTCTTTGAAAAGGGAGCTAGCTGGGTGGCCTGGTGGGGCGCAGGGACAGGAGTGACACAGATGGCCCCCTTGCTGCTGTTGGCACTTACCTGGGCTTGTGTTTGGATGCTTCTGCTCAGTCTAGCCTTGCGGTTGCTTGTCATGCTCAGGGGAAGCAGCCCAAATCTGCAGGACAAGAGCAAAGAATGAGTGGCCAGGACAGCCTTGGGGTAGCTCTGAGGGGGCGAGGGAGCCCCGTGTGCTCACCTCATCTGAGTGGACGCCAGGGGCAGGATGTTGTGGGGCTCCTGGGAGAGGAAGGTACTGCTCCTCGAGGTGAACTGGTTGTCTGTGGCGGTAATCAGCCCGAACAGGACCTGACAGACGGCAGAAGCACAAACCAGTGCCGGCTTACTGTCCAGGTGGGGATGCCGCTCAGGCAGGCAGCACCACTGGCCTTCTAACCCGCCTGGGGGACTTGTGGGGCTATTGTTTCAGAACTTGATCACTCTCCACAGTCATTTCTCTTCCTGAGACCTGGGTAGAACCCTCCCAAGTCCTCTCCCAGGCCTGCAGTGGTGAAAACAGGCTAGCCCCGGCATGTGACACTTAACTGGTCCTCTCACAGCTTAATGACCGCGCCCTGCCCACACTGCGTCCCTCCGGAGTACTGGAGAAGGAAGTGCTGGAGCAGGGATTTGATCCCCTGAGCCCATGGTCCTTCCCACTGTGCATGCCTTTGCCCCGACTCACAGAAGTTCGCTGCACCAGGCGGGAGAGGTTGTTGTTGAGGTGTGGTGTGAAAACATCCAGGTCAAACGGGTCAATGAGGCCCTCCAGGTGGTCAGTCACTTTCTCAAGTCTGGAGAGAGGATTACAGTCACTACACATTGTTCTGAGGATAAAAAGTACTCTCATGGTAATATCAATCACAGAGGGCCTGGAAGAAGTTTTATTCAATGTAATTGCTGGCTTCTTCCCCACTTGTCACTGTTGATTGTACTTAAGAAATCCCCAAAGGGTTTCCAACACTGTGTATTTGAGTGAAGGCTGCCCCTTCCCTGTGTTTTGGTTTTAGGGAGGGCACCCATAGCTCAGATGACGCCAGCACAGTTGCTAGGCTGACTCGGAGGGATGCAGTCCACTGCCTTGACTTGACCAGAAAGTAGGCAGGAGGCAGCCACTGCATGACCTGCTGGAGTGCAGGTGTGTGCTGTGTAAAGCCACGGTGTAGGGGATGCTGAGTCCTGGGGCACGTGCTTCTCAGCTTAGGAAGGGTTACATGCTCACAAACCCACTCTAAGTGGAGACATGGACCGCTGACTCTTCTGGCTTAGCAGCACGGCCTCCCGTCGTGGCAGGCCTGCCTGGAAGCTGTGTCTTCCTGCAGTGCATAACTACAGCCAGATGGAAACTCAGAACGTGTACTGAACACATACTGCTTCGGTGAAGCCCTGGAGTTCAGAGTCAGGGAGGCCAGCAGGGAGGACACGGCACCTGGGGTCCGGTTTGCTTCGGCCACTCTTGCCCTCTTCTCCCTTGGTGGTCAGGACGAGGCTGAGGTAGCGCAGGTCATACAGCAGCTGCAGTGCCCGATTCTGGGTGACCGGGAACGCTCCTTCCTTCTGCAAAGGCACCCCAAGTCCCCCAGCATGGAGAGAGGAGCTGTTACAGGAGTGTGAGCTCACTGTCAGGGTGTTAGAGCTGGTGACTTCAGAAGCAGGGGCTTTCTCTACACATAGCTTGTTCACTCAGAACAACAGAAATCGGGGTGTTAGAAACTGGGTCTTAAAATGGAAAACCCAGGGCTGGAATGTGGTAGAGCAAGCTAATCCTCTGCCTGTGACGCCAGCATCCGTTACGGATATCAGTTTGAGTCCAATTACTCCACTTCTGATCCAACTCCCTGCGTATGGCCTAGGAAGGCAGCAGAGGATGGTCTGAGTCTTTGGGACCCTGCTCCCGCCTTGGCTACCTGGAGGACACCCCTAGCTTTGGACCAGACAAGCTCTGGCTGTGGTGGCCATATCTGTCTCTCCCTCTCTGAACTTATCATGTTCAAGTAAATAAAATTTTCAAAAACAAACCAAACCCCGCCCCCTCCCCCAAAACCTAGCAGCACAGAAGAGACTTGGCCCTAAAGAAAAGGCCTCAGGGCTCTGGTACAGGACCTGAGGCCAGTGCCAGGATGCCTGCACCTCATCCGTGAGTGCCTGCCGGGGGCCTGGCTCCCTGCTTCTGCTCCAGTCCCCTGCGGATGCACCTGTGAGGCAGCAGCCATGGCCCAGAGTACTTGGGCCTCTGCCACCCAGGGGGAGATGTGGAAGGGGTTACTGATTGTGGGCCTTAGGCTGGCCTGGGCCTGGCTGCTGTGGCCATTTGGGGAGTGAACCCGTAGGTGAAAGATCCATCTTCGTCTCTGCTTTTCAAACACACAGCTTTGAAAACACACGCACACGAAAGGCTACAGGGGTTGCAGATGGTGCCGTGTACACACACACACACACATGGCTGCAGGGGTTGCAGATGGTGACACACACACACACACGGCTGCAGGGGTTGCAGATGGTCACACACACACACACACACACGGCTGCAGGGGTTGCAGATGGTGCCGTGTACACACACACACACACACATGGCTGCAGGGGTTGCAGATGGTCACACACACACACACACACGGCTGCAGGGGTTGCAGATGGTCACACACACACACGGCTGCAGGGGTTGCAGATGGTCACACACACACGGCTGCAGGGGTTGCAGATGGACACACACACACACGGCTGCAGGGGTTGCATATGGACACACACACACACACGGCTGCAGGGGTTGCAGATGGACACACACACATGGCTGCAGGGGTTGCAGATGGACACACACACACACACACACACACACACACACACACACGGCTGCAGGGGTTGCAGATGGTGCCGTAAGGGGAAAATAGCTTTGGAGGAGAGGTACATGGGGAGAAGACATAACTGAATTCCTTCAAAATCAGGACCAAGAAGGGAATACCAAGGGCAGGCTGCTGTCCAGAAGGAGCAGGGGTGTGGGAGGCTGGGAGGCAAGGACTCCCCTGCAGTGGCTGCCTGCCCTAGCTTTACAACTGGTCCATCATCTGAGGCAGCCGGGTGTAGGGGTGGGGCAGGGCTCTGTCCTCAGGTGAGCAAACCTGCTCTACAGTCCAGTTCTGTCAGAACTGTGACAGGTTAATGATTTGCCCAAAGCGCACAGTGTGCAGCTGGCAGTGTGGGGCTGGAAGCTGGGCCTTCCGAGATGCTGCAGTGAAGCCGTTTGACCCTGGAGAATGGGGAGGCCATGGACCCTCGCCAGATGGGGCGTTTTCATCGGAGCCGGGGCCCTGGCTGCATCCCTTGCTGAGGCTCTGGCGGTCTGGTTTGGCTGTAAACGCACTCCAGCAGCCTCCTTGCTGCTTCCCCTCTGACCGCAGCACACACCTTCGTTTTCTCCTCTGAGAATCTCTCGTAGGCAGCGACTACTTGAACCCGACAGCTCTGCAGCATCTCCTGCAGCGTCACCTTGGGCAGGGCGTGGCCTCCAACGCGGTTAATTTCTTGGCATAGACTAAACAGGAAGGATTGCACGTACCAGGATGGCTGAAAGAAGAGACCAAAAACATTAGCTTGTCAATCTGTACCCAGTAAATGACAGGCAAAAGTGGAAAATTAGCCTTTTAAGGCTCATGTGCTGGGACTTTGGCCTTTGCAGCTAGGCATATAACAGGCAGGCCACTCAACAGCTCCAAAGTCCCCGGCTGGTGCCTGGAGCGCTGCGGGCGGCCTGCAGCTGCTCCTGTTTGAGGCTGTTCTCACCTCACAGTCTCAAGAGCACAGAGCCCCCACAGCAAAGGGCAGACTCGAGAACTGGCTTCACGTGGCCCGCCTTCAGCTTCTCCTCAGCAGTTGGCTGTTGGATGATTTTTCTAGAACTGAGCAGTCCTTCCCCCATCTCAGCCCAAGGCTCCGGAAGTGGGTCTCGCGCACCTGCGTTGGCAGCCGGATCTTGGAGGTGATGCTGCTGCCGGACTCCGTCTCCTCCTGGATTTCCAGCTCATCCCAGTTGGTGGCCGTGGCCAGGATGGAGCCAGCATCCTCTGAAAGCAGGGATTGTGTGAATCCATCCGTCAAAACCTGGCAACAGAAAGCAAACAGCCCAGTAAGGTCTTTTGGTGTCACCCGTCATCAGCAGCACAGCTCAGGCTGTGCGGGTGGGGAGTGGCCAACACCTCTCTTCTTGTGGCTAATGATTATCATCAGATGGGGGTCCTGGCCAATGAAGCTACAGATGTCAAATGCCACTTCAGGGGACTGACCCGTGAAGGTTCCAGGGAATAGAGGACTGGGGCTCCAGAGCAGGAAGGCAGCTGACAGAGGGAAAGCACGCATGTTGCCCACCTGTCACACCTAGGCTGAGAATGGATGGGAAAGCGTTCCAGTTGAAGCTCTGGCAGAGAGGAAGCGCATGTCACTGTAGGAGAAACACACTCTTGTGCCATTGAGGGGCCTGACTGAAGGTGGCCGGACGAGACAGGGCCTAACGGTGGATGACAGGGACCCTGCTCACCTTCACGACGGTGGTGCTCCACGTCCTGTAGCCCAGCACGCTCTGCTGCAGCAGCATCTCTCTCACTTCCTGCCACTTGGCCTGCGCAGGAATGCCATCCTGACTGTTCCCCTTGGTTGCTTTTTTCAGAACCCGAGCCTCCCTGGCTGGTGTTTCAGGGCTCCTGGAGTTTCCCACAATGCATTGCTTCAGGTGGGGGCACAGTTCTCCCAGTGATTGGCACAGCCTGGCCATGAAAAGGACTGCGTGCAGCCTGGCCTGGCTGTGGCTGGCCTGCCGCCCCTGCACGGCTTCCTCGGTGCTCCGTAGCTCGGCCTGGATGCAGTCCATGATGTGCCTGATGCACGCCACAGCGTGAGCCTGCAGCATGTCCTGCACAGTGCCTGCGTCTGCGTACCTGTCAAAGGCAGGGCCCTTGGCCTGCGGCTGGGGACCGTCCCTGGGCGGGGAGGGCTCATCGGAGGGCAGGTAAGCCAGGAGGTCGTCCAGCTGCATTTTCAGCCTGGAGTCCAGGGCCGAGCAGAAGTTCTGCACGCAGGGGCTCACAGCCTGTGCCTTCATGGAGAGGCCACTGTGGGCGAACTGAGCGCGGTTTGCCACGGTGACCCAGGCAGCGTCCGAAGGCAGGTCGCTGGCGCTCTCGGACCACAGAAACAGGGCCATGTTCTGCTCGTAGTGGATGTGCTTATGGGAAGCAGAACCGCCGGGGCTTCCTAGCTCCTGCAGAGCTGCCCCCAGGAGCTCCTTGGAGCTACTGGAGATGGAGTCAAAGCCTTCTTTGGTCAGAGTCTAGAAGAGAAGGCGAGAACAGTTCCAGTCACTTAGGGAAACCTCAGAGTGAGAACAGTGTTCGGAATGCCCTCCTCTGCATTCAGAAAAGACCACGTGGTGTTGGCAGAGAACCGAGATGCTGTGTCTGATGTGCGAGACCACGGCCCTGGCCGACTGCTCTCGGCCCCAGAGCCTGGAGTTCCACCACTGCACACAGGAAGTGGCAGGGACCTCGCAGGCTGGCGGCTAGTGGCACGGCCACCCTGAGACTGAGCGTGACACCAGGGCCTCACCTGCAGTCGCTCAAGGAACAGCTGCTGCAGCATGTCCTCCCAGAGTGAGAGTGGCTTCTCCAGCAGCCGCCGGCAGATCACGTCCCAGCTGTGGTTGGCGGCCCCGTGGGCGAGCAACTCCCACACGGCATCCCGGATCCCCGCGAGACCTCTCATGCTCTTTACATACAGGAGCAAGTTGCTGATCCCATTTTTGATGTCTTCCTTACACCTGCAAGAAAAGCATCTTCCTTGGGCTCCGCAAGATTTGCGGGTTTTACAGCTTTATTAAGGAACGCAGCAGGATGCCACTGGAACACGTCTCACCTGGGTCCCCATCTCTCCACGTCTATCCACCCCGCTCCCTTGCTCCCTCCGTGTCCAGGGGGTGTGGAGTCGGTAGCCTTCACACACGCTGCCCTGTGCTTCCCTGAACCTAGAAGGCTGTCTGGAACCACATGGAACGGCTTCAGCTAGCAAAGCGTGCAGAGCTCCTCCCACAGTATGTTGAAAGCTAACCCCCTTCCTGCTTCTCAGAGCGGATGCTTGCTGCCTGCAAACGCAGTGACGGCCTGAGTACCTCACTGACCCTGGGACAGTCCCCTCCGAGGGCGCTGGGGGCTCCCCATGGCCTCAGGCCAGCACCTGGCTCCTTACATGTGGATCCATTTCTGCAGGGTGTCTCTCAGGTACTCCTGGCTGATGGGATGCACGAGGGTTCGGAGTGCTGGCTGGAAGTGCATGATGGAAGCCGGTAAGTGCTTAAACCAGCCGCAGGACTGCAGCTCCCCCTGCAGGACCCCAGCGCCCGTTCCTGGAGAAGGGAGCAAACAACAGGATTCCCAAAACTCATCCGGCCTTGTTCTGGCCAGGTCTGAGCAGACCTCTGGCCGAGGAGAGAAGCACAGTGCTTGCCCAGGGCCTCCATCATCCGGAAGGGCGGCAGCTTCCTCGTAATTCTGCTCCTGCCCCTGGCTGAGCATGACAGAGACCACGGGAACGGAAGGGTGACAGAAGAACCAAGTGTCATGCAGTCCTCCACAGTCAGAACTGCAGTTGCCAACACACTGAACGGCCTGCTCATTTCCTGGGAAGTGCCGATGAGCCCTCATCCCACGGGCGCCCTCCTGCCTCCCGAGGCACCAGGCCTCATATTGTGGTAGCGCGATCCTAGCTACCACTCAAACACAGGGTACTTTGGAGGTCCCACGCACTTCAGCTTTCAACACTGCAGCGAACTGGCCAATTGTCCCCTTTCTGGAGAGGGACAAAGTGTGAAAGGTGAGCTCTCGGGCCCTGGAGAGCCCCTTGGCTTGATGTTCCTAAGGCCATCTGTCCTCGGCCTGTACGGCGATGACCGGTGTCAACACGAAGCGGACACTTGCCCAGCTGCCCGGCCCGCTTGCGCATGCTCTCCGCCAAGGAAGAGGGTGTGCCCAGTTCCCTGCTTCATCCCCGGCAGGCAGCACGTGGCAGCGGCTGAGTAAACATTCACTGAATGAACGAGACAAGAGCTCACCGGCTGGGCTGTGGCCCGTGATGGCTTCCAGGGTGGAGAAGAGCAAACCGCACGGCAGGGCCGGCTCTGGCAGCTGGCCTTCGGGCATGGTGTAGAACAGCACGTGCGCCTGGTTCAGAGTGGTGGCCAGCAGCTCCACCAAGGAGCAGATCTGGGCTTTGATGCCAGAACCTAGCAGAGGAAACCAAACCATCCTCTCTGAAGCAACTTTCCAGAACACTCTGGAAGCTTCCAGCTCCCTCGGCTCACCCTTCCCTGTCCCGCTCCGAAGGACGAGGGTTTGGAGAGAAGCTGCACCCACCATGCTGCGGCTGGTTGAGCAGCTTCTGAAATGCTGCCTTGCGGGCCATCAGGAAGTCGGTGAGAGCCTGGCGCGGGGAACTCTCCTCCAGGAGCATGATAGAGCACAGGGCCTCGGCCACAGCTTGGTCAGACACAGCCTGGCCTTTGAGCAGCATCTTGCTCTCATACAAAATAGTGGACCTAGGAAAGGAAGACAGGAGGAGACACAGGATTTTCCACATTAGCGGTGGCAGAGCTTGGCCATCACCAGAGAACACCATCTGGAGGTGCAGGGGCGGGGTGAGATTCCCTTACCGGAAATGGCTGGCTGCTGCCACCTGCCGGATGAGGATGGGAAAGCGGGAGAGGACAGGACTATGGCAGGGAGCGCCTGGCTCCAGCTGCAGCAGGCCGTGGAGGTGGCAGCAGAGCAGGTGCAGCTGCGTGGCACGGAGGTACTGCGAGGCTTCCATGGAGCTCCAGATCCTCTCGGGGATGTCCAGCAGCAGCTTGATCTGGGCGGCCATGCTGTAGAACTTCTCAGACAGCTGAGGCAGCTGCAGGGGAGGGTGCACAGGAGGCAGTCAGAAGTCCCGTCAGGCAGTTGGGGAAGAAAGCGAGGGGTATTTCTGGGTATGCAGTGTCATTAAGGCAGACACTACTACGCCAGGCAGCCAGCGAGGTCCAGTGTGGTGGCTACTGCTCCTCCACACACAAACCTTCGCCCAAGACCCGTGCAGAGGCTCATCGCAGTGAGCCTTCTTGTCTATTTGTAAGTCAGTTACAGGAAGAAAGGGAGAGACAGAAATCCTCCCGCTGCCCGTCCATGCCCCCAGATGGCTGCCAAGAGCCAAGGCTGGCCCGGGCGGAAGATGGGAGCCAGGAGCTTCATCTGGGTCTCCCGCATGGGCAGCAGACACGAACACTTGGACCATCCTCTGCTGCTTTTCCTAGGCTGCTGCTAGGGAGCTGGCTCAGAAGTGGCACCCTCAAGGGATGCTGGAATCACAGGTGGAACTCTGCCTGCTACACCACAACGCCAGCCTCTCGTTATTCATAGGGAAGGCAATGTTAAAGAGACACAGGGAGAGAGCACTTCTGTGTGTTGGTTCACTCCCCAAGCGGCTGAACAGCCAGGCTGGGTCGTCTTCTGCTGCTTCCCTGGCAACACCAGCCAGGAGCTGGATTGGAAGTGGAGGGGCTGGGACTTGAACCTATGCCTACATTGGAATGCTGGTGTTACAGGCAGTGGCTTCCCCTGCCGGGTGCCCACCATGAATTTCTAGTTGTTCTTCTCTGTCGGCCCACAGGGACCATCCCTGTGGCTCAACCTCCAGGCCCCTCTCCGCTCACCTGGGTCTAGGGACTCTTGCAGGCTCCTCTGCCCTCAAACGCTCGCGACAACAGCTCTGTGTCTCCCAGGTCAACACCCTGACCTCAGGCCTCCAGACCCCAGACCCAGGGGAACAGGACATTCTCTTACACACGACTGGGTCTCGGGAATGTGGCCAGAGCAGTACAGCAGGAGTAAGGCCCTCCCCCCTCGCTGCAGACTTCACCTGCCAAAGCCCCCCTCACCAGAGGGACCCACACCCAGCAACACAGGTGAACCGGCGCCCTACACTTGTCTCCATCATTACTTGTTTTTGGGTCAGCTGGCCCTGGCTTCATCTGTCTGACTAGACCGGAAGCTCCTTCAGAGCAGAAATAATTGGGTTGGATGTATTCAGTTGAACTCAAACCGTGGGTCTACGGATCAAGCAGGTAAGTACACCTCACACAAGCATCAATGCTTTTCCAAAACAGGGCAGAGCGCAGCTTTGACAGAAGCCTGTTTTCTTTGGGGGGGGGGCGGGGTGTGCAGGACTGTATCCTTGAGTGGTGGCCACCCCAGGGGCAGCAGCCATCAGAAGGGAGATGGATGTTTCCATTTCCAAGCCTCCCCAGGTGATCCCAGCCTTCCATACACAGTTCTAGGGCGTCTGCCCAGCTTCCTGGACCCAGCTTTCTTCTAAAACTCAGCTACTACCAACAGGCTCCCACTCCCGGGGCTGCAGTTCCCGAGGCTACGTGGCAGGAAGCAGTGAAGCCGACTTTCCCGTTCGTTCACCTGTCACCCCTCCCTGGCCTTTCAGGGTCGACCCTCCTAGAGATGGCAGGACCTGACCGGCGCCTGACAGGTGTGGGCCCCCTTCGGCCAGCACCGCGCGCGGGTCCGGGGTGCAGGGGGCCACCACGCGCGCAGAGTCGGGGTGCAGGGGTCTACCGCGCGCCCTGGGTCGGGGTGCAGGGGGCCACAGTGCGCAGGTCCGGGGTTCAGGGGTCGCGGCGCGCGTGGCCGGGGTGCAGGGGGCGCACCCCGGAGTGAAGGCTTCGGGGGCCCACGGGGTCAGCAGACAGCAGAAATCGAACGGTCTGCGGGGGACCCCTGGCGTTGGTCAGCTCCAGCCGGAAGGGAGCGCCTGGCGGCCCCGGCCTGAGGTGAGTGAGACTAGGCAGGATCCCGGGGACCGCCGGCTTCTCCTCCCGAGGGGCGAAGGGCGAGGGGCGCAGGGCGGGGAGCGACACGCGGGGCACCCCCAAAGGCGGCGGGCGGCACCGACCTGCGGGGCCTGCGGGGGCCGGGGCGGCGCCGGCGGGCCGGCCTGGCGGAGACGGGCGCAGTACTGGTCGGTGGCCTGCACGGCGTCCACCAGCCCCTCGGCGCAGCAGCGCATCTGCCCGATGGTGTCGGCCGCCTCGATCAGGTCGCGGTAGCGCTCGCCCACCATCTGCCGCAGCTCCTCCTTCTTGTGCTCGATCTCCGCCCGGACTTGGCGCTCCAGCCCGCGGATCTCTTCCGTTCCGTGCGTTTCGAAAAGCGCCGCGGAGTCGCGCAGATCCAGCCGTTTCCTTGCGGGAGAGACGGCCGCGGCCGCCATGGTGCGTACGGGAAGCCGTCCGCTGGTCACTTCCGCCTTCCCGCCCCGCCCCGCCGCCATCTTGGTTAGGGGCGGAAGCGCTTCCGCCCCGCCGGGAGCGGGGTGCGCGGGGGGCGGTGCGGGTCTGCGTGAGGAGGCTTCGTTAAAGGGAGACGCGGCGGTTCAGTGAGGGTCGAGGCCGATGGTGACCGGAAACCTCTCCAGGCGCAGGTGCATCCTTTCCTCGGTCGGAATTAGCACAGGACGCTCGAGTCCCCCTCCTGCGAAGCGTTGTCCCTCGGCGGCCACCTGCCGCTGGCCCGAAGTCACTCCTGGGGGCGGCTCCTGGGGTGCAGCCTTAGGGCCGTGCTGGCCACTTCGCTTGCTTTCTAGGTTCATGGCCCCCGTGCCATTTTAGAAGCCCGGGTGTGGTTTTTGTTCGCTGCAAAGCCGTCTTAGCCGGTTTGTAGTTGCTGCAGCCCACAGGCCACAGACTGAGGGGCTTCTGAGGGCGCGCACGTGCAAGAGGCAGCAGTTGGAGAGAGGAGAGGAGGCGCAGGGCACTGTCTCGTGTGAGGGACTCGGGGTTCCAGCACGGGTTCTCTGCTTCTGAAAATAGTGATTATTGTTTGAAAGGCACAGAGACAAGGAGGGAGTCGGAAGGGCATGCATTTCCATCTCCAGACGCAGGAGCTGGGCCATGCTGGAGTGCAGATCTCCACGTAGGTGGCAGAAACTCGGGGACTTAAACTGTGGCCACCTGCTGCTCTCCCCACCCCCAGTGGGATGGACGGTAGCCCGAGCGTGTAGGGGCTGTGGTTTCCATTGGACAGGTGGTAACCTGGGTTTGCCCAGAGGGGCCGACAATGCCTGCCTACAGCATTGGCTACTCTGGTCCGTGGGTAAGCTCCAGGTGGGCTGGCTCACGGGGATGGTTAATCCCTCGCCAGGTGGGCTTGCTGCTCACCAGGGACAGCCTCTCGCCCAGGTGGGCTGGCTCACCCAGGATGGTTAGCCCTCTGCCCAGGTGGGCTGGCTCACGGGGGATGGTTAACCCCTTGCCAGGTGGGCTTGCTGCTCACCAGGGACAGCCTCTCGCCCAGGTGGGCTGGCTCACGGGGGATGGTTAGCACTAAGTAACATTTTGCTTTCCTGGTTCTATTTGGCCCAGTGACTTCCACTTGCCCGGACTCAGATCGCCCTGTTGTGTCAGGTCTGCACTTTGCCCGCTCTGCTTTCCCAAATGGATTTTTCTTTTTTTCCCTGGTTTTTTTTTGGGAGGGGGGAGGAATTCAGCTATCACTGGCCGGCACATCTTTTCCCCCAGGAACCCTGACAGCTGCAGTGAAAGCCAGGATCTGGCTGATCAGACGCAAGCACGCTGGCTCGGCCCCGGGGAGCCAGTCCAGCTTGCAGTTGTTGGTGCCGTTGGCTGCTGTGAGGGCCTGACTGCAAGGCTGTCTGCCCAGAATCCACAGGTGGACACTTTGGGCTGTGCACGTTGGAGGGTTCCGTCGCTCTCCGGAGTCCACGGACTGTCGTGCGTCCTGTTAGAGGTGGCTTGCAGTGGTGTTAGCGCCTGGACTTCCAGACAGGCTGTCCCCACTGGGAAGTGTGTTCTGTGTCCTCGCCGAGTTCCTCGCATTGTCCTCAAGATGCCGCTGTCGCTCCTTCCTCGGGTACAGAGGGCTGCCGCCGCGCTCCCTCCGAGCTCCGGGCATCTCAGACTCCCCCGGGCACTGGGGGAAGGCAGCGCCCCCTTGTGGGATTGCCATAGTTCAGTCTCGGTTTCGGGATAAATGCGTGTGTATACTGTGATGACTCTAAACCTTTAGACATACGATTTTTGGTTTTTTAAACAGCACGTGTTGAATTGCAAGAGATTGCATCTAAGTAATTATGTGTCCCGGAAGCAAATCTCGTTTGGTTTCCTGGAACAGGTGACCAGAGGCTGGATAATTGTTTCTCAAGAAAAGAAATTTCTTTAACATAAGGAAATTCAAGGTGGGCAGCCGAATCCAGAGAGGACCTCCCGCTGCTGTCATACCACTGTGCTCTAGGGAAGAGAAGGGGTACATTCTTTATGCCAACCCACTGCTCCCATCGCTAACCCGTTCTCCAGGGCATGTCATTAATTCCTGCTCAGCCGTAGGTCCATCCTGGCCAAACATGTCTGTTAAAGGCCCCGCTGCCTCATGCTAGAGTGGGAACATGCTTCCATGTGAGTGCTGCTGAGGACAAGACACATTTAAAAAGGGGGTGCCCAGGGCAGTAGCCAAGTGGCTAAAGTCCTCACCGTGCATGCACCGGGATCCCATATGGGTGCTGCTTCTTATCCTGGCTGCTCCACTTCCTTGCCAGCTCCCTGCTTGAGGCCTGGGGAGGGAAGTAGAGGACGGCCCAAAGCCTTGGGATCCTGCACCCGTGTGGGAGACCCAGAAAAAGTTCCTGGCTCCTGGCTTCAGGCCAGCTCAGCCCCGGCTATTATGACCACTTGGGGAATGAACCAGTGGATGGGAGATCGATCTTTCTGTCTTTCCTCTCTGTAAAATCTGACTTTCCAATGAAAATAAATCTTTTTTTTTTTTAAAGGTTTATTTACTTGAAAGGCAAGTAAATCTCTCTCTCTCTCTCTCTCTCCCCCCTTGGAATGAGAGAGATTCACTCTCCTGGTGGTTGGCTCCTGAAGCCAGGAGCCAGCGACTCCATCTGGGTCTCCCACGTGGGTGACAGGCACTCAAGCCCTCGGGCCGTCCTCTGCTGCTTTGCCAGGCATATTAGCAGGGACTTGGATCAAAAGCAGAGCAGCCAGGACCAGAACCAGCACTTTAGTAGGGGATGCTGGTATTAAGTCACAAATGCTGTGACACAAATACTGGCTCCTGTTGGACCCTTCACACCAGGCCTTCTGCCCATAGCAATAGCTGTAGTTTGGAGCACCACCTGGAGTGTGCACATGGGATTTTCAGCACGCTTTGTTGGTCTGAGCCCAGTCCTGCAGGAGCAGGCAGCTTGTCTGAGCCGCAGCAGGCCTGGGGCTGTGCTTGTCTTCAGCTCCCGGCCAGTCGGCCTCTGGGAATCCTTGCTCTTTCTGCTTCCTTGCACTTCAACAACATTCCCAGTAGACGAGGAGACAAGCGGCCCAGGCCATGTCCGACCAGCCTCCCCTGGGTCTCCACACTGCCCCTGCGCTCTGCCCAAGGCCGCAAGTGGCTCCAAGCTGGGGTGATCCTGCAGAAGGCACACAGTGTGGCCGAGCCAGGGAGCAGGTATCTGCGTGCTGCACGCTGGAGTCTGTCAGTACTCTGAACATGGGAGGGACAGGCGTCTCTTTACTTTTTGATTAAAAGAATATACATACATACATACATACATACGTATATACACACACACATATGCATATGTACACTCTGAAAGCCAGCCAGGAAATTTCCCAAAATAGAAGGATTTTTATAGACACCATGTGCTATATGCAATGTGTGGCCTGGCATCTGCGAAAGGACCCTGTAGACCTCTGCTCTCAACCAAAGAGCTCAATAAATGCTTGCAAATATGCCATGTGCACATGTCACAAAATCACAGGGTCCTGCAAAATGTTCTTGGAAAATAGAATTAGGAGATAAAGTTTGTTTTGGTGCCAAAAATTTAATTTATTTGAAATCCCTACATACAGCTATTTTCGTACAATGATCTTCCATGCCATTTAAAAAAATTATTTGGAAATGAGGATTATAGAGGGAGAGACAGACAATGAGATATTTTATCCATTGGTTCACGCCCAAGTGGTTACAGTGAGAGCAGGGCTGTGCCAAGCAAAAGGCAGGAGCCAGGAGCTTCATGTGAGTCTCCCATGTGGGTGCAGGGAGGAGGCGGGCAGTGTCCCCTGCTGGCTTAGATGAGCTGACTGTCACATCCCCCGTGTGCAGCTGGACATGCTGTCCCCTGCACAGGCATCAACGGCTGAGGAGCCCCAACCTCCTCAAGTCACACTCCGAGGTCAGAGTGCCACCGCACATCCTATGAATTTCTCTGTGCCCGGCGTCTGAGTCCAACAGTCCAGTGGAGAGCGCCCCAAGAAGCCTCACCAGGGTGACTCAGACTTGACTCCCATGTGCACCAGCCGGTGCAGGGTCAGGTGTGGTGTGTCAGCTGCGGTCTGCCTGGTGAGTTCCGCTCCAGCCCTGTATCATGTGAACTGATGGGTAGTGCAGCCCAGCCAGCCCGCCACAGACCTGGTCCTCTACCAGCAGATGCTGCAGCCTGGTCAGGGCGACCTCCAATAATCCCCCACCAGGTCTGCTCCCATGCCTGCTTTTCACGTGTGCCAGCCTCTGCCATGGTCTTGTCCCACCCAACTTGCTTTTTTTTTTAAAGGTTTATTTACTTTTATTACAAAATCAAATATACAGAGAGGAGGAAAGAGAGAGAGAAAGATCTATCCGATGATTCACTCCCCAAGTGAACGCAACGGCCGGTGCTGTGCCAATCCAAAGCCAGGAGCCAGGAACTTCCTTCCGGGTCTCCCACACAGGTACAAGGTCCCAAGGCTTTGGGCCATCCTCAACTGCTTTCCCAGGCCACAAGCAGGGAGCTGGATGGGAAGTGGAGCTGCCAGGATTAGAACTGGCACTCATATGGGATCTTGGCGCGTTCAAGGTGAGGACCTTAGCTGCTAGGCTACCACGCCGCCGGGCCCAACAGCCTGCTTTCCATCTGGCAGTGGACAATGCTGCTTGGCCCAGCCCGGATCTCCCGTGTGAGCAGGAGTCCTAGCCTGACTCAGACAAGCACTACAGAGTCTCCCCACCCTCTATTTAGAATAAAACACTCTTAGTTCCCTCACTTGCCTGCCAGTGCAGTGGCTTGGTCCATGGAAGTCCTTGGAAGCCATTCCTCCGTTGTCAGACAGGCCCTCAGCCACTCCCACTCCAAGAGGTCCCCAGACCCCCTTCCCTGGGCAACCTGCAACCCCCTGCCTGGGAGCTGGGATGGCATGTCCTGGCCTGGTGTTCCCTGCCTTCCCCACACATCTTTAAGAAGCAACAACAAGAACAAAACCAAAGC